AGAAGCCTCCAAGAGGCTGCCAAGAGACCCCCAAGAGGCCCCAAGAGAGTCCAAGATGGCCCAAGACGGCTCCAAGAGCGAAAAGGCGAGAAAGCAAAAAACATTGATTTTACCTAGGTTTTGGAAGGATTTTGGCCTCTTGGGGGGCCCAAGAGGCGACTCGAGGCACTCTAGAGGGGCAACGCTAATTGGGGACCCCCTCTTCTTTGATCGATCTCCTCCAAGATGGCCCCAAGAGCGCCCCGAAGGCTCCCAAGAGCGCCCCAAGAGCGCCCCAAGAGGCCCCAAGAGGCCCCAAGAGGCGCCCAAGAGGCCTCCAAAAGGCTCCCAAGAGACCCCCAAGAGGCCCAAGAGGCTCCCAAGACGGCCCAAGACGGCTCCAAGAGCGAAAAGGCGAGAAAGCACAAAACATTGATTTTACCTAGGTTTTGGAAGGATTTTGGCATCTTGGGGGAGCCCAAGAGGCGACTCGAGGCACTCTAGAGGGGCAAGGCTAATAAGCAACCCCCCCTTTTTTGATAGATCTCATCCAAGATGGCCCCAAGAGCGCCTCGAAGGCTCCCAAGAGCGCCCCAAGAGCGCCCCAAGAGGGCCCCAAGAGGCCCCAAGAGGCCCCCAAGAGGCCTCCAAGAGGCCCCCAAGAGACCCCCAAGAGGCCACAAGAGGCTCCCCGAGATACGCAAGAGGCCCCCGGGACCGCCAAGAGGCCCCAAAGACGGCCCAAGAGGCCCCCAAGCTCGCCATTGTCCTCCTCCTCCTCCTCTTTTTCTTCCTCCTCCCTCCTCCCCCTCCCCCTCCTCCTCCTCCTCCTCCTCCTCCTCCTTTTCCTTTTCCTCCTTCTCGTCCTCCTCGTCCTCGCAGTCCTCCATCTCCTCCTCCTTATCTTCCTCCTCCTCCTCCTCCTCCTGCTCCTCCTCCTGCTCCTCCTCTTCCTCCTCCTACTCCGACGACGACGACTCCTCCTACATCCTCCCCCTCTTGGGGTATATGGCGGCTTAACCCGCTCTTTGTTCTTCTGCATGCTCCCCCGCTTCCCTCATCACCTCCACTCCCCTGGGGCTCATTTCTGGACGGGCTGGTGGGGATACGCGAAGCGTCTAGAATTACCTCCAGCGCCCCACGGCCGTGCAAACAGGGGGAGGTGGACACGCACGCAGCAGTGAAAAGGACGGCCTCGGGGACCCCAGATCGAACCCACCGCGCAGGCCCAAAGACCGCGACGCAAAACAACTCACAGCACCCGAGGGGATGCGGCAACACATGCGCATTTCCCTCCCGGATATACCTATTTAGGGCATGGCCCTGCGTGGTCATGGCCAACTGAAACACTGCTGGGCATGGCCCTGTCTGATAAAATTACCGAAACGGCAACGAACACGGCCCCCCCCCCGGCCAATGAGAAACCCGAGGCCCAGGACAAGGAAGACTCAGTCCGATCCCGACCTCGATTCCGCCCCGACCTGGAAACCGTGCTTTCTCGAGGCTGCCGCCTCGGAGCGCGCTGAGGCTGCAGCAAACATTGGACCAACACTGGCGGTCGCGAGTGTTTCCGCGACTCCATCAGGCCCTGGCGCGCAAATCTGCGAAATAAGTAGGAATGTAGGTCTTCCCGAAGGAAGTCGGGATCTGCAGTAATGTAGGTGCTGAAACATTGCACAAAAGAGAGGTCGTCAACGCTGACCCCTTATGCTAGAACGCGAATAAGGTGGATGGGTCCCCGTTGCAAAGCACGCCCCACCCTTTCTTAGCAGCGCATGTGGGAAAACCGTACAAAGAGAAACCGACCCTCGGACTTGACCCGCCGGGAAATAATGAACGGCACGGACGAATCAAAACACTCAATCGCCATTGTTTTGTGCCCTAGACTGCCTTGGCGAACCGCGTGGGGCTTAGAATCCTGGGGGCGCCTGCCAGGCGCAGGTCGAAGTTTTCCTTTGCTGCCTCTGAGGCAGACTTTACGTCTCCAGACCCCAACCCACTTGGCCCAGTGGTGCCCCGCTTGGGTGGGCCTGTCGGGGGAGGCCGAGGGAGGGGGCGGGCGAAAACAAGAGTCGAGAGACAGCTTGGGCCATGGGCGGAGCAACTTGGCAGCCAGGATGCAAAGCCCCGTGGGGCAGCCACCAACTTGTCAACATTATCTAGTTCAGCCGAATCCGACGCATGAAGCTGGAGCGCATGCTTAGCACCAGCATATGCATCAGCATTGCCACGACGTCTGAACTTCTACTGGCGAAATATCCCGACTTCGTCTACAACTAAATGAGCCTTGACTGTGGCCACCGAGCCCACCAGGCCATTCTCGAAAGTGTTAGCGCTCGTGACCATGCCTGAATACGAGCGGTTGCCTGAATAATGATCGGGGAGAGGTCGGAGACCATGAGCAGCAACGCTGGCGCAACCTGAGTAAATCGTAGAAAGATGCGCTACAAACTGCGCACCAATGTAACGGGCCGGGTGTTCAGCAGCCTGCGCCGTCTGAGGAAGGTGGGCCCAAACTGGGCCTCGCGCCTCTCCAAGGCAAACTCCATCATCAGAAAGCACGCAAATAGCAGAGGCAACGCTAGAAAGTTCCCTGACAGGATGACGCCGGCAGGAACCGTCTATAAGGAGGTGGCCCCACATTTCTCCATCGGCTGGGACTCTGGGGCCCTCTGGGCTGTCGAGCTCACTGGAAAGCCACGCTAATTGCAGCGCGTCGGAGCCTTCCACAGCAGGGCCCGGCAGGACATCGGCGGGGTGAGCGACAGTTCCTCTAGGATATAAAGCTCGAAAATGAATGTCAGGCTCGCCCTCAGCTGCCCAAACAGCTAAAGCGTCATCAACGACCGGGCCTGGGACCAACTGGGCGCGGAGCTCTCGGGCAGCGCGCGCCTGACATTGCCAGAGCCTGTGGAAGATGGAATGGGGGGCATCTGAGCAAAGAAGACACAGTGGGCACACGTGATAAGCAAACAAACCCTGCAAACCTTCTCGAAGCCCCCGAAGAGAGATAGACCAGGGACGCACTCTAGTCTGAGCCAGCCAAACTGCCTTGCACCATCTGATGAACGGGGCGCACGCGGCGCGCCAGCATGGATCTTCACACAGGGTGCTGACCGCAGTGAGGGGCCTACTCTTAGAAGGGGCCCAGTCGCGAACACTCTGAGTGCCTTGCGGCCCAGCGCACCTGACCGACGCTTGAGGCGACGAGACTTCCTGCAAAGTAAAGCAATCCTACTCTTGAGCTGGGACGATCGCCCAGACGCACGAGCCGAAGCCCCAGCGCAATAGTCGACCCCGAAGTTTACAGTGGAAGGCGCCACCTCCCCACCCAACTGGCCGAGAGCACTGGCAAGCGCGGCTAAAACCTGACAAGAAGCAGCGGTACAGACCTTGTCGAAAGCAAGCTGGCAGATAATTTCGTTCAATTCAGTGATGGCATGATGGAGAACGGACGTGACTCCAACGATGTTGTCCACAACGTGTTGGCGCGAGCCAGCGCACGAAACGCAAGTGTCGTCTATGTAGATGTCGAAAAACTGCGAGGGGAGGGACGGAATGCGATCGAACGAACACATTGCATACACACGGATGCGAATCGTAGCAAAGCTGCGCCCAGCCACAACTCCTCTCTGAACGAAGTAGGGGCCATCTAACAGCCCAGCCAGGGACACAAACCTCCCGCAACAATAGGCGAACCGGGAGAGGCGAGTGAGCACGACAGGGAACTTATGCTGATGACACCTCTGTTCGAGAACATCCAAATCTATAGCTTCGTAATGCTTGCGCAAATCGTAGAAGATACTAGCACTGACCTCCCTGCGGGAGGTGCCATCTCCACCTCTGAAAACCTCTCCAAACCACGTCGGAAGCTCCGCGAAGCCCCAAGAGGCCCCCCGGCCGAAGACGCTCCAAGAGGCCTCGGCGACAGTGCCGAAATCACTGGTGTTGCGGAGGTTTTGGCCACATTCGGCCTCCTGGGAAGGGGGGGGCACTGCTTCGGATGACTCCAAGAGCGCCGGGGAGAGCCCAAGATGACCTCGAAGATGGCTCAAGCTACCCCAAGATGCCTCAAGATGGCTCCCACGATGCTCCAAGAGGCCCCAAGACCGCTCCAAGACGGCTCCAAGTAGCCAGAAAGCTCCCCCAAGAGGCCCCGAAGAGGCCACATTCCTTCCAAAACCTTTGGGCAATCCATGTCTTTGGTTTTCTCGCCGAGGCCTCCAGATGGCTCCAATATAATCAGCCCGAGAGGGCTCCAAGAGCGCTCCCAAGGCTCCCAAGAGCTCTTCGAGAGGGCCCCAAGAGGCGCCCAGGAGGCCCCAGCGCAGGCCCCAACAGGCGCCCGAGAGGCCTCCAAGAGGCAAGAGGCTCCCAAGAGACCCCCAAGAGGCCCCAAGAAGCTCTCCGAAGCACCCAAAACGCTCTAAGAGGCGTCCGGGACCGCCAAGAGGCCCCCAAGACGCTCCAAGAGGCCTCCACTGGGGGACCCTTCCTCTGTGTGCTGCCCAGTTCCCTGATCGAGACAATTCCTCTGGGCATCGTTTCTGGATGGGCTGGTGGGGTTACTTTTTGGTCAACAGGCTCGCGAGGCGGGTCGAAAGCCGTCCACACACAGGTCGGGCCGCGACTAGGAAGCAGGAAAAGAAGGCAAGCGAAGCGAGCGAGCGGGCAGCCACTCAGAAGGAGAGCCAGAACCGATCCTCCCAAACCCGGTGGCGTTGGAAATCCCGGTCGCGACCAGCAAGTAAGCGCAGCCAAAATGGCGCGGCGGCGCGACAATAAACACGCAATGGTCGATCGCTCGGTGTGAGTGTCTGGTGGGGTTACGCGAAGCGTCTATAATTTTTCAATTTCCGCTAGGACCTCTTGAGTGCAAGCACTGATTGAGGAATCATTCACCCACCGAGTCTTTGGTCGTCCTGCCGGAGACAACGCAATGCAAAGTTCCATGCGGGGGGCAGCACCGTGCAGCACCTGAACGCCAAGGGACCAATGCAGAGCAGCAGTCTCTTGCGAGCCTTCGTAGCACACGGCCCCGAGCACCAGGTGGAATGCCCTGTGCCTCTCGCAGCACTCCTCGGGGGGCGCGATGTAGAGGAGGAGAAGGACGAGGAGGAGGAGGAGGAGGAGGAGGAGGAGGAGGAATGACGATGACGATGCCGACAAGGAGGAGGAGGAGGAGGAGGAGGAAGAGGTGGATGAGGAGGAGGAGGAGGAGGAGGAGGATGGGAAGGAGGGAGAGGAGGAGAGAGAGGAGGAGGAGGACGAGGAGGGGTAGAAGGAGAAGAAGAAGAAGGAGGAGGAGGAGGGCGAGGTGGAGAAGGACGAGGAGGTAGCAGACTACGTGCAAAGCGTAGCGGCGAGGATGAGTGAGGAGGCTGAGGGGGAAGACAACTTAGGACGAGGAGGAGTGAGGAAGAACGAACGAGGTAAGTAGGGGACACACAGGAGGGGACGGTGCAGAGAAGAGGCACGGGTGACGGGGGAAGATAAGAGAACGGTGGAGGATAACTATGGAGGATTGAAATGGAAATAGAAATGGCCAAGTCGCGAAACGACAGACCATGCATGATAAGACCTGGCCCCTGGCATGCTGCTCAATATGTGGCAAGACAATTGTGGCCAGAGTCCGGCATGCATGCTCTGAACATACGCGCGGATGAAACTGCGGTCTGGGCTGGCACTGGCGCGGCTGACGCTGCCGACCCCGTGCCGTCTGTGGGCAAGAGACCCCAGAATTGAACCGATAAGCCGGATCGGCGATCGAAAATCATCGAATCGACAGAAACCGGCAGTCGAGTCGGAAAGAGTCGAATCGGCAGAGATCGGCAGGCTGGTCTGCGCGCCATGAGAAATCGGAGCCCTACTCGGCATACCGAGTCGAATCGAGTCGGAATCGGAATCCAGGGAGGAGGAGGAGGAGGTGGAGGAGGAGGAGGAGGAGGATGAGGAGGAGGAGGGGGAGAAGAAGGAGGAGGAGGAGGGGGGGGGGCACGCATCGGCATCGAATCGGACCGAATCGGAGGAATCGAAAAAAAGCCCTCCTGGGCGGAGCAGGCTGCCGCGCCGGCGCCTTGGCCTCGCCGCCCCCTGCGCGCCTTTTCCCTGGGGGGCAGGCGCGATCGCGCAAGGCTGCGTGCGCTGCTCTCTCGCCCCTCTTGCGACGGCAAGCTGCTCCCCGCACTTGGCCATCTCACACTCGACTGCGCGAAGGTCGCCTTGTGAGCGTTCTGTACTCGGCGTTTGGGCAGTGGGAGGAAGGCGGGGGGGTCTGGCTCCAGACCTCTGCTTTGCGCGACTGTCTGCAAGAGTGCTGCCTCTGGGGAAGACTTCCCTCGCTCGAAACAGGCGCCAAAAAACAGCCATGATCTACTCCACGGGGGGGGGCAGGAGGAGGGGTCCCGCGCCGATCGGCAAAACAACGAATTCAAACACGAATAACCTTTTTCCTTTGGCTCGATCCTATCCAAGTCACCGGTGCTGGTGAAGGGCTCGTCATTCTATCGCAGATTGAAGACTGCATTCTCTTCTGACGTGCTGGCGTTGGCGTGGCCTGGATGCCTGACACCTCCTTGGCCAGAGCATCGGCTGCTGCCTTCCGTCGCAATTCCACCTCAGCAAGGGCTAAGGTCGTGGACTGTTCCTTGGCCTCCGCTCTCGTGACGTTATACCTGCACTTGATGACCTGGGCGATAGCGTGATCGTGTCGTAGGTTTGCATCTTGCCAAGCTCCCGAGGTCCTCTTGACCTGCTCCTCGACTGAATCGCTGATGGGGGCGCTGGTAGCGCACTCGCTCCGCCGCCGCCACTACGAGCTGCTGGAGTGACATGCCGGCTGCGATCGACTGCAATAAAGACAGGAGTACATCGTCCTGTGAGCTCGGCACCTTCTGCTGCTGCTGCTGCTCTTGCAAGGACGAGTTGGATTCGGCCCATGCTGTTTTGCAAATCACCGTGTCTCCCTTTGTGCAACTTGCTGGTCGTTCCGGTCCCAAGCCTGCCAATGGCTGCACCCGCATCAATATCCCTTTGGAGGAAAAGCCATGCTCCTTCGCTCCGTTTGGCCACCGCGGGGGCTGTAACAGTATGGAATGCCGCCACGGTGCCCCTCAAGCACCACGACGGAGATACGGAGCTGGACTCAGATGATAACACGGTGTTCTGAGCCCAAGCTGTTTGAGGGATTGAAACTATGGAGGATGAGGACTGGGCATGAGGGAGGGGAAGAGGGGGGGGAGAGCGAGGAGGGCTGGCGAGGGACGAGGATAAAGGAACAAAACAAAACACATATGAACATAAACTCTTGGAGCTCCGCGCGAAATTCTTGGATCTGCGCTGGACGCTGGCGCGCGGAGCGCGTCAAAGGCGGCGCCAGAGGCGCCGCCAGGGGGGCCCAACGCGGATCCAAGAAATTCGAGCGGAGCGCCGAACATGTGTGTTTATGTTATTTTTCTTCTTCGATAGGAGGAGAGGCGGGAGAGGAGGAAGGGCGGATGCACATGGGGATGAGGGGTGTGGGACGCGAGCGAGGGGATGGGGGCTGGGCGTGCTGCGGCACGCCCCGTGAGCAGGCGTTCGCTACAGAGGCGTCCAGCAACGGGAGATCGGAGGGCCCCCCCCTAGTCTTAGGTCGGGCGTGTCCCCGTACAGGAGGATTTGTGACGAAAAAAACACAATACTCAACAAATACTCCGAAATGGTCAAGGCTTCTCAAAACATCGCCCCCATATTATTACTTTTCTATGTTTGAATGCTCCTCCTGTAGAGGGCCTCGCCCGAATTAAACCCTAGTCCTTTGGCCCCCTCCTCGGCAGGCCTCTGACGAAGCATTCGCGAGCAAACCGTCTGCCTCGGGGCCCAAAAGGGGGGCCCCCTGGCGGCGCCGCCAGCGCCTCTCCCCTGGCGCGCCTCGAAGGGTGGCTCCAGCGCCGATCCGAGCAGTCGGCGCGAACCTCCAAGAAAAACCGTGCTGATGCAACTGTTCGTTGTCGAGGCCTGACTGGGGGGCAGCAGGCAAGAATAGCGTGGAGGCAGAGGGCGTGGCTGGACAAGGGCGAGGACGGCGCTCGCGCTGGGACTGGCTGTGGCCGGCCCCCGCCGACGCCTGGTAACGACGTGCCGTCCGCCACTCAAGCCACTCTGCGCCGTGCGCGCGCAGGCCCACTGGACCCCGACGGTGGAGCTGGAGGAGGAGGAGGAGGAGGAGGAGGAGGAGGGAGAGGGGGGGAGGGGGGAGGAGGAGGAGGAGGAGGAGGAGGGGGGGGAGGAGGAGGAGGAGGAGGAGGAGGAGGAGGAGGAGGAGGAGGAGGAGGAGGAGGAGGAGGAGGAGGAGGAGAGGAGGAGGAGGAGGAGGAGGAGGAGGAGGAGGAAGAGGAGGAGGAGGAGGAGGAGGAGGAGGAGGAGGAGGAGGAGGAGGAGCTCGCAAGTCTGGACGGCGCCGCGCGAGGGGCGGGAGGACCGGGGAGTTGTAGGACTCGGGCTCGGGGGACTCGGACTGGCCTCTGAAGTAGGGGCCGTCAGGGAACTGACGAGACCCAGCCTGGAACTTGACGCGAACTCCCGCTGCAGACGCCCCCCCGCAAACTGGACCGTCAGCCTCCAGGGCGGCCTGCTCCGAGAGCGCAGGCGACCCCCGAGCCGTGGCGCACCCGAGTCTCGCGCTTCCCCGGGAGGAGTGAGGCAAGGAGGACGAGAAGAGCTCTGCGCCGACCACCCCCCCCCCGCTCGCTGGGGGCGGCGACGCGAATGAGGCATTCGGCTGCCTCCCTCATCCCCTGGGGGCCAACATCCCATGCAAGGGGGGGGGGGTCGACGGGCTCCAGGGTACAGGAGGAGGAGGAGGAGGAGGAGGAGGAGGAGGAAGAGGAGGAAGAGGAGGAGGAGGAGGAGGAGGAGGAGGAGGACGAGGAGGAGGAGGAGGAGGAGGATGAGGAGGAGGAGGACCTCTGCGGGGGCGGAGTGAGGCTCCGAGGAGCTGCGCAGCCGCGGCCTCGGATGCCCTCCTCTGCGACGGGCTCCAAGAGGCGCCGATCGCGGCTCCAGCGCGCCGGAAGCATCTGGGCCCTGGAACACGAAGGACGGCCTCAGGACGGCCCCGACGGCGTGGATCCTCCCTGGCCTGATGCGGATGTCTCCGGGATCGGGGGAAAAAAAACGGAGGTTCTTCTGGAATCGCCCGCCGGTCCGCCGACCTGTCCTGGGGTGCCTTCTGACTAGACTGTCGAAGGGAATCCCACCGCGGCGACGAGGATCGCCCTCGAGGCTCAACAGTATAGAAACCACGGAGGAATACTCTCCGCGGAGATCCGGCGTCGCGACCAAAACAGCCTTCCGACCAATCGTGGCCCCAATCCTACCCCAAACTCTAGAGCAGTCAGGGTCCTTCGACCCGGAGGATGATGAACACATCGTGACGCCTGGATCGCAGGGGCGACCCGCGCAGCTCCGCCTTGATCCTCGAAGCCACTCGACGTCCAACCAAGGCTCTAGGGACGAGGTCCGATTCTGAACAGCAGTTCAAGGGGTAGTCTAGCAGTTGCGACGAAGAGCTTGTAGAAGTGTTCTGCGGCATCTCGGAGGAGCCTCCGGCACCAGATTGCTGGCTCTTGCGAGTCGACGCCAGTCGGCGCTGAGCTAATCGATGCGAAATCGACGATGTTCGACGCTGTTCGGCACTAATTCGGCACGATCTCATCAATTACCAAACGCTGTTCGACGCTAGTGCACTCTGAAGACGGAATCACGAGGACACATGGCTCACATGGATTGCCAAGTACGAAACACGCCCAAATCGACTCCTCCTCCTCCTCCTCCTCCTCCTTCTCCTCCTCCTCCTCCTCCTCCCCCTCCCCCTCCCCCTCAGTCCCTCCCCCCTCCTACCCCCTCCACCGTCCAGCCCATGTCCCGAGCCTGTGGCAGGGTCATCAGCTCGTCGTCGTCGTCGTCGTCGTCGTCGTCGTCGTCGTCGTCGTCGTCGTCGTCGTGCTCGTCGTCGTCGTCGTCCTTCTGAGGTCGGCGGCACCGGCCGTAAGGCCATGACATTACGAAAGACGTCCAACCCTCGGATTGGGGACGGCCAAGAGAGGGGCGTCCAAGAGGAGGAGCGCAAATCGTGGCCAGCGGCATGTGCGCGGCCCAAGGAGGGTCGGGGACGGATTGAAAGAAGAATGGGCGCCGTCAACTCTGGGGAGATATCGTGGCCTCCGCCATGACATCCACCCCCACCCTAGTCATCTACCCCCTCTTGTAGAGGCCTCCTAGATGGGGTCCGAATAGATGGGATCGGAGGTTACGCCGTTTCTCTGATGCATCGGCGATGCATCGACGATGCATCGGTGATGCACCGGCGATGCATCGGCGACGTCGGCGACACATCCGAGACGTCGGCACGAAGAACATCGGGCCCCACCTCGAGCCGCATCAGCGATGCGGCGCGATCCTCCGACCTCATTTACTCCGGGGAGGATGAAGGGGAGCAGGAGGAGGGCGGGGAGGAGGAGGAGGAGGAGGAGGAGGAGGAGGAGGAGGAGGAGGAGGAGGAGGAGGAGGAGGAGGAGGAGGGAGGAGGAGGAGGAGGAGGAGGGAGGAGGATAAGAGAGCATAAAAGAGGAGGAGGAGGAGGGGGAGGAGGGGGAGGAGGAGGAGGAGGAGGAGGAGGAGGAGGAGGAGGAGGAGGAGAAGGAGGAGGAGGAGGAGACGAAGGAGGAGGAGGGAGGAGAAGGGGGAGGGGAGGAGGACGAGGAAGAGGAGAACGAGGAGGAGGGGGAGGGGGAGGAGGACGAGGGGGAGGAGGAGGCCCAGACCTCGGCCGCCCCCGATCGCGGCGCTCGCCGCAGCTTGGCGCTCCGACGGCGGGCGCGGCGCGGCTCGCGGCGCGGCTCGCGGCGGAGGCGCTCCTCCGCGCTGTCCCAGAGGCTCTGGCCTCGGCACGCGGGCGCGGGCCGCGCGGAGAGCGCAGCGCGCGCGGGCGCGGCGGGTGCGGCCGCGGGCCGGGGCCGAGCCGCGCGGGGGCAGCCAGCGGCCACAGTCTTGATTCCACACTGACACTGGCAAGCGAAGTCGAGGCCCCGGCAAATCCGACAGGCGCGATCGGCCCCCTCGAATGGCGGGCGAACCAATACGTAAGACGATGTCGCAAAAGTAAGTTTGGAATTTGGGGATCAACGCAAGAAGCGAATCCACTCGCCCAAAATGTAGTGATGTGCCTGTCCGAACAGCAGGCGGGGGGGACGAGCGCAGGGGGAGAAACGGTCTCCCTCAAAAAGAAATCGGAAGAGCCACCCCCATGTTCACCCCATGATTCCTGTGTGCCCCCGCATGCGGCTCCCAGATGCGTCCAGGCAGCGCCGATGGGCACCGACGCGACTCTGATGTATTCCATTATCATAAAAAAGGCGCCAACGGCGAGGGGCGAAACCATTACGGATAACTTCTCCGGCAAGCGAAGCCGTTTCGTAAACGCACCCGAGGAAGTGATCGAACAGGGCAAGGCCATTTCGTAAACGCCCAGGGACGGTCAGTAAACGCCAATTGTCGGGGTCTGGGTGGTTTTCCCTCCCTTGAGAAAGGGAGGGGCAGCAAAGGGTATGGTATGAATAAGCTCACGCAACTGGTGTCCCTGGCGCCTCCTGGCGCAGGCAGGCGCCCATGCGTCGAGGAGTGGGCCCAGCGACTACAACAGTCGGGGAGGGACGAAAGGGCTCGAGCGAGACGGTGTGTGTCGTTGTCGTTCTGTGATCGTTGTCCCTCCTTCTGTCTCTCTGTTGCGAGACGATATCGGAACGAAAACGGTCCACGAAAATCGCGAAAACACCGTTTAGTTCCAGCCCTGGGGTACTGGAATCGGCTCATGTAGCTGGTTAGCTCTAGCCATGGGGTACTGGAATCGGCTCACGTAGGCTTTCCTGGTGGCGCCTCCTGGCGCTGGGAGGCGCCCATGCGTCGAGGAGTGCCAGCTGGATGGCAGCTCTCCCGATTATACCCTTTCGTCCGGCCCGAGAAAGTCGAATCGGGGATCGACTGCAGAATCGATGTACCCCAAAGTCGATTTGAATGCTGATTTCTGCAAAGAATGCACGGAGCGCTCCGCAAATCTACTGACCATTCTACGCACTGCTCGTTGATCCGACTGGGGAATCCATCTTGGGGTAAACCGATTCTGTCGACGATCCCCGACTCGAGACAGGGTCGGCTCTGGCCGTGATTTTTGTTGGCTTTGTTCCACGACGCGAACGTGTCTTGATTTTCGGACCAGTGGGATGGGGCGAGAGAGGATCACGGCAAAGGTGTGCATCTTTCAACGCGTGCATGACGGCGCCGCCATGCATGCATGGACAAATGCACATACAGTAGGGGCTCGGCCACAAGAAACCTTCCACACAAAACCCAACCCTGGAACCCCAGGACGTACATCGTACATTGATGTTCGGTGTGGGAACGTCTCGCACTCCATAGCAAAGACGTCGAAACCCAAGAAACCCAGAGCACCTGGGAGGCAAACAGGGCGTTTCTTGGCATGGGTTTCCACTGTGTTCGCCTGGATCCCCTCTCGCCCCGTTCCCGTAGCTCGAGACAGGGCCGACTCTGCTCGTGTTGCTTGGTCTTCACGACGCGAACGTGCCTGGGTCTTCGGACCGCCGACCTGCTCCGCAGGCCGCCGGCCACGGCGCTCGCCGCGCATCCCTGCGCGCGCGGCGACTGCAACACGGGCCACGATCGGAGTTCGGCTCGATCTGCGGCGGGAACAGCAAGAGACCACAACCACATCTCAAGTAGGGGATCGACTACAGAACATATTCACCCCCGAGATGGCGTTCTCGCCGAAGTTACCGAACATGCGCACGATGCTCGTAGAGCTACGGGACACTCTACACATTCTTCGCAGATTCGACGGATACCTCAATTTGGGGGTAAATCAATTATGTTGCCGATATCCTACTCGACCATCGAGGACGCACCCTGGAGATGTTCTGCGCATGCTGATTATCGTCGGAACACCGAGGCCAACTTGGTGCTGGCTGTGCTCGATGTGGGCGTCCCAGGCGGCCAAATCGACCACAACCACCATCAGAGCGTTCATGTCGAGGTCGGTGCGCTCTCCCCCAGTAAGGCCTCTCAGAAAAGCCTGCTTCCATTTGGTTGTGATTCTTTGCGGTGTCCGGAGAGCCTTGCGCGAGGAAATTCTTAGTCCCTCGCGACGTGAAGCCTGTCGAAGCTTTCCCCCCTCGTTGAGCTTGTGGGAGGCCATCGGCAACGGCCAGGAGACCCCCAGAATCAAATCGACAAAATGGATCGGCCATCGAAATTAATCGGATCAGCTGCAATCGGCAGCCGAGCCGGGAGACGTCGAATCGGCGGAACTCGGCAGGCTCCTGGGCCTCCATTGAAAGCTCCGGACCCCAGATCGGAACCCCAGCCCGAATCGAAGCGGAATCGGAAGCCATCGACATCTGAGCGAATCGGAGCGGAGCCCAACTCGGAACCTCCAGTCGCATCGAAGCGGAATCGGAAGCCATCGAAACCACACCGAGTCGGCGCGGAGGAGTCGCACCGAGCCCCGAACGGCGGGGAGTCCTCCTCTCGACCCGCTGGCCAGGACGCACTCCCGGACAGGTCTCCGGAGGTCGGCCCTCTCAGAGGCCCCCCCGAGCCCGGCAGGAGTGCCGGCGAGGGGGGCGACGCCGCGCGGCGGCCGAGCTGGGCTCGTCGAGGTTCGAGGCTCGAGGTCTCCCAGGAATCGCATGGAGTCGAGGCTCGAGGTCTCGAGGCTCGAGGTCTCGAGGCTCTGCTTTCGAGGCTCGAGGTTTCGAGGCTCGAGGTTCCCCTGGACGTGCTGGCACGTCCCCCGGGAGTCTGAAGAGCATCTGGTGCCGGAAAGCCTGCGCGGGGGCGGGCGATCCAAGATGCGTTGCAGCAGCTGCGCCTCGCCCAGAGCCAAATTGTCCCAGACGGCCCCCTGAGACCCGAATGCGACCCGAGGGCACGCCCCACTGCGACGCGAAGAAAACACGACGGAATGCGACCAGCCCTCTGGGCGGAGGTGGTTTCGATCGTTTCCTCTTGTAACCCCTTTTGTCCATTTCGGAAAGGGTCCAATACTGTCCCACTCGACCAGCCGCCAATCAGGAACCATGAGCGCGACTCCCATTATCCCTGGGCACGTGGCGGCAACATCTGGATCGTGAGTGAGGCCCCCTCGAGCACTTAGCATCAATATTTGAGAGATATGGCTGGGAGGTAAGCATATTTGCCCGCTGTGCGCTGCCCCGTGTTCCTAGTGGCCCCAGGTTACCCCCCAGATGGCGCAATCCATTGCAAGATGGCTTGACATGTTCTCCAGCATGCCCTCAACGGAGCCCGAGATCGTCACAAGACGGCTCTAAGAAGACACGGAGCGTCCAGAGAAGGTCATGATCATCTAAACAAACAATGGCTTCCAATATATGGACGCGTCTCGCTTCTTGACATCCGATGGGCTCCAGCTGCCTCCGCACCGCCCCGATCTCGCCCAGAGGGGGCCCCACATGGGCCCCGGGAGAGGCCCACGACGCGCCACCAAGAGGGCCCTCTAAAGAGCCCGAAGAGGCGATCTTCCGGGTTCCAGAGGAGCGGGGAGACTTTAAGGACCCCCCCCCCTCTATAAAAGCCAGTGAACACAAGACTAAGCCATACGAAGTTGGAATATGTTGGCATCTCGAGGACATCCTTTGGCAACTTTTTGGGCCATGATCGCTCCAGAAGATTGCTCCCGACAGCGCAAGATGGTCTCCGAGATGGCACAATCTGTCCTCCGACCTGCCATGGGGTGCGTGCTGATTAGAATATGAATGCAACACGGGCCGCGCGTCCACGAGAAGCGCCCCCCCGAGGGCCGTCAAGATGGAAGGACACACGTCCATCGATCGGACCTCGATCGAGCGATCCTCGATCGTGGGCCGACCAGTGGTCGATCGATCGATCGATCCTCGATGGCTGCCTCGACCGATGCCGACCGAGGCCGCGGCAGGAGAGCCTCGGCGAGTCCTCGCACTTCTCCATCGCCAGGGACACGTTGAGGCGCTCCAGGAAGCCGCGGACCTGCACCTCGGGGCCGGCTCCGCGCCCCCTCCCGTGCCCCCCTGCGGGCTCCTCCTTCCTCCTGACTCCTCCCCCCCCCCCACTTCTGCCTCAGCCCTCGTGGCGCCCCAGCCTCCCTTCCCTGCCCCCCCCGCCTCCCTCAACCCGCCTCGCTCCTCTACATTCCCCCCCCCCTGCCTCCCCTCCTCCCCTTCCCCAGGTGTTGCCGGTGGTGCCGCTGGCCCAGTGTGCCCACAGGATTTCAAAGGAGTCCCCGCCCCTGGCCTCCAGGGAACCCCTCCTAAGGACCACAGGCCACAGGGGCCCAAGCACGGCAAACACAGTTGAAGTGGGTACACCTCGGGCCAAGGGGCACCTTTAGCACCTGCCGACTCCTCCCTACTCCCGCCTGCCCCTCTCCTCGTCCGAAGCAATTCGGATGTTCTGGGACCCAGCAAGTCTGGAGAGGGTATTGGGCGCCGTAGCCGTTCCAGAGCAGTCAGGGGGGCTCTGAAATACAGTGGAGGCCAGTCCACAAGAAACCTTCCACAAGAAACCCAACCCTGAGACCGCAAGACGTCCATTGATTTGTGGTGTGGGAACGCCGCGCTTCCCATCGCAAAACCATCAAAAACCCAAGAAACCCAGGGCACCCTGGAGGCAAGCAGGGTGTTTCGTGGCATGGGCCCCCACTGTAGGTTGTTCTCTCACCCTTCGCGCTCCCGGAGCTCTGCCATCGCCCCCGGTGCAAGCAAGTTCGAGCCTGCCATGGATGGCTGCGCGTGCGGGCCAAGACCTGCACCGATTCGGGGGCCCGCAAACATGGATTTGCGATCCATGGATTTGGCAGCGCGGTCGCCAAATCTATGGATCGGGGGAGATGCCCTCCCCAAAACGCTGGCGGTGCCGCCTCGTTCGACGGCGGCAATCCGCGATTTTCCGTGGAAGCGGGACCCGTCGCTAATCCTCGCCCCCTTCATCCATGCTTGCGATCGCCTGACCGATGGCCAGCACGCTGGCCTCCTCGAGAGTGGTGCCCACCAGCCAGTGAGTCTGTGACGAAGACAGAGGGCAGAACATCCACCACGATAAAAACCACCCCGACACGCGAAGCAATTTGGCAAACGCACCCAACGAAGGAATCGGACAGGGCAGGGCTGTCCGGTAAACGCCCAAGGCCGTTTAGTAAACGCCAACTGTCGGGTCTGGGTGGATTTTCCTCCCTTGAGAAAGCCTAATCCCACTGGGCGCAAGGCAGGGGTCAGGACCTCTGGGGCCGCGCCCGGCAAAGGTCACATCGTCGGAGGTCGAGGGCCGTCGACGCCCCCGTGACCTCCCCTCGCCGCCGCCGTCTCCAGCCCGCCTCGTGTCTTGAGACGTCGTGTAAGGATGGACAACGAAGACAAGGGGCCCGACCACGAAACCTTCCACAAGAAACCCAACCCTGAGACCCCAAGACGTCCTTTGACTTTTAGTGTGAGCACGACACACTTTCCATTGCAGGACCATCGAAACCGAAGGAACCCAGGGCAGCCTGGAGGCAAGCAGGGTGTTTCTTGGCATGGGCTCCCACTGCACGCGAGATGGCACAACGACCTTGCGCGGTGGCTTGCGCGGACAGCCGGCGCGGCGCGCTGCATTGGTAACGAGGGCGCTTACGCGCGACCTGAAGCGGGCAGCTTGCGCGCTCTGCGTCGCTCAGATGTCTGGGGACCTGGACACTCGACAAACAGGTTTCGTCATTCCGCGGCTTCGAACACCAGACCCCTTCGAAAGCAATTCTTCACTCTGTATCCACCGTTGGTGGGCCTGGGGCCAGAAAAGGGTGGTCGTACAACGAAAACACATTGTCCGATGAGCGGTGAAAAGGATAATAGTACTCTCGGATTGCACAACCTTTGAGGGTGGCTGGCCCATATGTCTACGCTTGTTTGGGCACAGCCCCAATCTGAGAGGGTCAACGCGTGCTAGGTCCAAACCCAATCATGAAGGGGGTCAATGAATGAGGGGTCGTAGTTCCCGCGTCAGGGATCAACGCATGAGGGCAAGCGTCACGGCTGGAGGGATCGACGCATGAGGGGTCAAGGCCTCAGCGGTAGGGTCAGCGCGTGGCGGGTCATAGACCCAGGATGACAGGTCAACGCGTGAGATGTCCTATACGAGGGGGTAGGCCCCAGAGCGAGGGGTCAACAAATGAGGGGTCGTACCCTAGCGGAAGGTCGTACCCAAGCGATGTGCATTCCGCGCAACTTGTGGCCGTAACATGGTTCGACAATTAGCATCAAGATGCTGAGGTAGAAATGGCGGCCATCACGCTCTTGCGGGGCAACAAGGTGAGTTAGTAAGAACACGTACGCCAGGGTAGCAACGTGGCGAAGGAAGATTGGTCAGCAGACGGTGGAGGCAAGAAGCGAACCGGAATAACATCCGAAAACCAAGTTCATCCCATGGGGGGAAAACGCTGATATAGAGGGGTCAGAACATGATATAATATGCCAATAACTCGGAGGTGCGTCACTCCGGCTCAATGGGGTAGTCTGAGAAGGAGGATGAGGAGAGGAGAGGAGATGAGGAGGAGAGGAGGAGAAGGAGGAGGAGAAGAGGGATGAGGAGGACGAGGGGGAGGAGGACGAGGAACAGATGAGGATGAGGAGGGACCAGTGTAGACCCACGACGCATCAAGCATGTTACAATAGACCCTCCCTCCAGTTTCCCACTTCATAGATCCTCGCTCTAAATCGCGACAGATAACCTTTTTCATGGGAACCTGACACCGCGAATCTGAATAACTGTTGCGTCCTGACAGTCCTAACTCGGGCCCGGACACTACGCTTGGGACTTCGAACATACGAATCCTCGAAACTGTTGCGAACTTTCAGGACGACCGTAAGAGGCGGCAAAGCAAGAATCACAACTTGAACATCACCCGTCCTCCATCCGGGAAACGGTGTTCGACAAGACACATGTGCGAGGCACTGACGCGAGAATCACAGCTAGAAAACAACCCGCCCTCCATCCGTGAAGCCCAGGGCACCCTGGAGTTAATTAAGCAGGGTGTTTCTTGGCATGGGTCTCCACTGTAACGAATGTGCGCGGCGCTAGGGCGAGAATCACGTGCTGAAAACCACTCTCCCTCCATCCGTGAATCTATTGCGAACGTTTAAAAGCAAATGTGCGCGGCGCAAACATCGATAACCTCATGTTGAAAACGGCCCGCGCTCCCTCCATGAACCTACTGCAAATCTCCATCATCAGGGGATCACACAAATGTGCGAGGACGTCGCAGGCGAACGCCCGGCCCACCGTACTGACATGTCTGGGGAGGCGGTAGGCAGGAGTTACTTGTCAGGACAAAGGAGTGACGAGAGGACGAGGAGGAAGGAGGAAGGAGGCTGGAGGAGGAGGAGAAGGAGGATGAGGATGAGGCGGAGGGAGGAGGAGGGAGGGAGGAAAGGGAAGGAGGAGGAATGAGGAGGGGGACGAGGAGGAGGAGGAAGGACGAGGAGGAGAAGGACGAAGGAGGAGGAAGGAGGAGGAAGGAGGGAGGAAGGAGGAGGATGGAGGGAGGAAGGAGGGAGGAGGAGGAAGGAGGATGAGGAGGAAAGAGGAGAAGTGAGGAACAAGGAGGACGAGGAGGGGGAGGAGGAGGAGAAGAGGGTGGAAGGAGGAGGAGGAGGAGGAGGAGGAGGGAAAAGGGAGGAGGAAGGAGCCGTGCGCCTGCTCCTGGCGCGCGGCGAGCGCCAGGGTCGTAGCCAGAGGGGCCTCCTCCAGGAGGGTCCAGCGCTGGCCCGAGCCAGCCGCGAGGACCAACGTTATGTCGGGCGTGTCACCCTACAGGGGGATTTTCGACGAAATATTAAAAAAATATCCCCCAAATACCCCAAAAAGCTCAAAACATATTCAAGAACTAGTCCCCAGACTATGTTTGGACTATTTTTGGGGACTATTTCTGTGTTTTTTATTTTTCGTCGAAAATCCCCCTGTAGGGGGACAGGCCCGACTTAAGACCAACGAGGCTGTGCGTGCTCATGCCCAACGCAAGCTCTCAAAACACCCGACGTGATGTGCCTGCGGTAGGTTCCTGTCGTAATTAGAGGAAAGAAAAACTGCAAACGTGAACGTTTGGCGATCGAGGACCGAGGACCGAAGAGGACCGCGGACCGAGGATTCGCCACGATCGAGGACCGAGGATTCCGCCACGAACGAGGAGCGAGGACCGAGGATTCGAAGAGGAGGAAAAACGCCACAAACATAAACTTCTGCCGCTCCGCGCGGACTTTTTGGATCCGCACTGGGCCCCCCAGCGGCGCCTCCAGCGCCGCTCCTGGCGCGCTCCGCGCGCCAGGGACGGGGGTCCAGCGCAGATCCAAGAACTCCGCGCGGGGCGCCAAACGTTTATGTTTATGGCGTTGCTTGTTTTGTCGAGTAACGATCCTGGCGCTGGTTTCTGACATTCTTCATCGGTCGGCGGCTTTTCGATCGCCTGACCATTCCATGCTTTGAGGGGTGAAAAAACGACCCTACCCTGGGCTACAAGTGCGTGGTCTGTAAACCTCCTGGGGACCCCCAAAGCCCAGAGCCGCCAGGACGCGGCACACCACGCAGGGTTTACCCAGTCAGCCCACAGGAGTCTCAGCGCACAGCGCCTCGTAAACCAGGGTAGGGGCGTTTTTTTCTGCCCTTGAATGCTGGCCGATTCTGCGCCGCCAGCGATGTTGCACCTCGAACAGCCGGCGCTGGGGTCGCAGCCGCGTCGACACGACGCCGAGCTACGCGGCTCGCACCTCGCGGTGCGCGCCGCGCGAGCGCCTTCGTGCCCTCGCGCCCCCGCGGAGCCCCTTTTGAGAGAAGGGGAACCTCTCCAGCCCAGGCCGCGATGCGCGAAGCGCGATGACCTTAGCGCCGATGGGGGTGACCCAGATGTGGGGAAACCGAGAGGTACTGATGCTGCTATTCCCAGACCTCACCCGGCATGCGCTCTGGCCAGGACTTCGGGGCGCATCCGCCGGTGGCGAGGGGCCCCCAGGAGGCCCAGGCGAGGGGGGAGCGAGAGGGCGAGGGGCCCCCGGGAGGCCCAGGCGAGGGGGGAGCGAGCGGAGGCTCGAGGCACGGGTCCTTTTTTTTGTCCACCTCTGAGGCCTTGCCTCGCGCAGAGCCCCCAGAAGTCCCGACCCCCCTCACCGGGGCCAGCCTCTCGTCCCGAGCCGCTGGCTCGACGGCCCCCCGGGGCCCGAGGCCCAGGGAGGGGCACCGGCCCAGACTCGAAAATCGACGAGCAGAGGGAGCGGCGAGCGGCACGACACTAACGAGCAGGACGCGCGCAAACTTTCGCGTCGGCGGCTAGGCAGAGTTCAGGAGGGAAACAAAACACAGGCACAACTAATCGCCGAGTCCCCAGGAAAATATGGGAAAATATGGGAGGTGGGGGGGGAAGACAGAAACCCAGAAAATATGGGGATATGGGGAATCCTTTTGTGTGTGTCTGCTTATTTGTGTGGCTCAGGGCCCCTTCAAGAGTGACTGCCAGACTGCGCCGGCGGAAGGGCAGAAGCAGGACATGCAAGTGCGAATCTTAAGCCGCGATGCGCAGGAGAGAGAGAGAGAGAGAGATAGAGAGAGGGAGGGAACGCCCGGCGAAGGCGGGAGGGAGGGGGAAGCCGGGCCCGCTCAGAGCGGAGGGCGGGAGGGAGGGGGAAGCCGGGCCCGCTCAGAGCGGAGCCAGGCGGCGGCAGGGCGGCGCCGGGGGGTCAGGGCCAGCAGCCGCCGGGCGGAGGCAGTGCGGGGGGGGGTAGCCGGCAAGGCAGGCTGCCACGCAGCGGCCGTGCTGGGGGAGCAGTGCCCAGACACGCACAAACACACACACACACAACCATCCGGGGCTCGGAGGGAGTCGACTGGCAATTGGTATGGGTGCGGGTTGTCGGACCCCAGGGGCACCCGCGTTCGAGCGGGGACCCTTGTTCGACAACCCGCACCCCTAGCTCCCTCCGTCCACCCTGTGGGTATGGGTGTGTGTGTGTGTGTGAGTTTTTCCTTCGCCAAGACATTAATCGGATCGGCGGACACCGGCAGCCGAGTCGGGAGGAGTCGGATCGGCGGAACTCGGCAGGCTTGTAGGCCTCCTTGCAGAGATCGGAGTCCGGATCGGAATTTGAGGTCGGATCGGTTCGGAATCGGAGGCAACCGAAATCGAATCGGATCGAATCGGCGGCGGCGAAATTAACGGTGTGGGGGCATCAGCTCAGGGGGAAAACTGAAGGGGGCCTGACACACACACACACACACACACACACACACACACACACAAAGACACCAATCACAGGATTCCCCACATGTTCCCATATTTCCTGGGTGTTTGTCTCCCCCCCACTTCCCATAAGTTCCTCCATTTGCCGGGGGAAGCGACGATGAGAAGTGTGTCTGTGTTGTTTCTCTCCTGGACTGGAGTCGGCGATGTATCGCTGATGGGTGGGCGATGGGCCCCCGGGGACGGCCGGCCCCGGGGAGGGCGGGCGGCCTGCACGGGCCGCAGGGACTCCGGGATGAACGCCACAGACATCTCCTGCCGCCAGGCGGGGGGTCGGGGGGCCTCTCTCCTCCCTCGTCCTCCCGACCCTCCTTCCTGCTCTTCCTACTCCTCCTCCTCCTCCTCCACCTCCTCCTCTCTCCTCCTCCTCCTCCTCCTCCTCCTCCTCCTCCTCCTCCTCCATGTCCTCCTCCTCCTCCTCCTCCTCCTCCTCCTCCTCCTCCATGTCCTCCTCCTCCTTCTCCTCTTCCCTCCTGCTCCCTCCTCCTCCTCCTCCTCCTCATCGTTCTCCTCCCTGATTGTAGCAGAGGCCCAGCTGGGACTCCTTCGAGAGATCGTCCTGATTCTGCGCGCCAGGTCCAGGATCTGGAGCCCCTCACGCCGGGGCAGAGCGGGTACAGTGGAGGCCAGCCCACCACAAGAAACACAACCCTGAGAGGCCCCCCCGACGTCCATGGACGTTCGGTGTGGGGACGCCACGCTTTCCATGGCCAGACGGTCAAGAAACCCCAGCCACCCAGGGCACCCTGGAGGCAAGCAGGGCGTCCCTTGGCATGGGCCTCCACTGCACGTGCGAGGCGCAGCTGCACGTGCCACCCTCTCCTGCCCGCGCCGGAGCCGCGATGGCTGCGGCCGCTCGGCGGCCGCTCCGGGGAGGCCAATGGTCAGACCTCTGAGAGGCGTTTCCCTGGGACGTGGCGCGCTGCCCTCCTGGTCCGCAGAGGGAGGAGGAGGGAGGGGGGAGGAGGGAGGAGGGAGGAAGGAGGGAGGGAGGAGGGAGGAGGGAGGAGGAGGGAGGAGGGAGGAGGAGGGAGGAGGGAGGAGGGAGGAGGGAGGAGGGAGGAGGAGGAGGGAGGAGGGAGCTGGGCACCATTCAAAAACGGGTCTTGCGCGAGATGGCACGGCGACCTTCCGCGGAGGCTTGCGCGGGCCGCCAGCGCGGCACGCTACGCTGGAAGCGAGGGCACTTACGCGCGACCTTACGCGGGCAGCGCACGCGACGATGTCCGCGCAGACGACCCCGCTGTTTTGCATCGCTTACCTGGCATTGCCGATGGTGCCGTTGCACTCCTCGCGAGCATCTTAGAAAAGGACGTCATAAAAACGTCAACTACAACGGCGTCCAGACGGTCAACGTCGCCGACGGCATCGCGGAAGGAGGGGCGATCAGCCTGGGCACTTTTATGGAATAGATGGGATTTCTCGCAACAGAGGCGCTGCCAGGGACAGGCTGTGGCGTCGGGGCCGGGATCCGCATGCCAGGCCCGTGGGCCAATCACGTCTGGCAAGGCACCGGAATGCCGGACGAGCACCCCACGGAGTCGCTTGTGCACAGGTTCTGCGGGACGGCATCCTCTGCCCTCGGTGGAGCAGTTTGCGGCCGAGCAGAATCTTGAATGAAGCCCCCGCGTCCTCCGCCTCAGACGTGGCGTCGCTTGTGCACAGGCCCTGCGGGACAGCAGCCTCTGCCCTGGGTGGAGCAGCTTGCGGCCGAGCAGGATCTTGACTGAAGCACCCGCGTCCTCCGCCTCCGAGGACGTGGCGCGCGGAGGCTCGCGGCCATCCTGCACGCAGAAGTGAAGGGGCCCCGGGACACACAAATAAATGGACACAAATAACCGGATTCCCCATGTTTCCGCATATTTTCTCCTGGGTTTTTTTGTCTTCCCCCTCCACCTTATAGTGGGCCCTGGAAACGACAGGGCCGTTTTTTTACCGGTTCCGTTTTGCCGTTTTCTTGCCGGTTCCGACGCCGATTTTGTACCGGTTCCGTCGCCGTTTTTTGACCGGTTCCGGCTCCGGCTCCAATCCTGGAGCCGATTTGTTGCCGTTTCTGGTCGCCGCTTTTTCGCCGTTTCCATTTCCATTGGACATCTTTCTGGAAACGGTGAAAAAACGTCCCTGCCGTTTCCAGGGCCCACAAACCCAGACACCCGACGTCGTGATTTTTTCATGACGTCGCCCCCCAGAGGTCTGGACCCCTTCCCCTGGACCGGTTTTTCGTCCTGCATCGTTTTTTGACGGTCCCGAGGCCCGGGAAGGGCCCCCACAGGGCGAAAATAGCGAAAAACCTGACGTCGTGATTTTTTCACGACGCGAGGGGGTCTGGGGAGCCCCCCACTTCCCATCTTGTCCCAGATGTTCTGGGGGAGTCGGCGCTGAATTGTGTCTGTGTGGTTCCTTCCCCTCCCGAAGAGGGGCCCGTCGTCCGTGCGTCGCCGCAACGGGGGCCGGTGCAGGCGGCGCGCACTGCTCCGGCGGCCTGGGCGCGGAGGTGCACGAGGGAGGGCCCCCGCGCACCCAGGGCAGCAACGCCTGCCACAGTCGTGCATATTTGAAGGGGCCCTGGGACACACAAGTAAGCAGACACAAATCAGACAGTTCCCCGTCTGTGCCTGCATTTTCTGGGTCTTTTGTCTTCCCCCCCACTTCCCATATTTTCTGGGGAACCAACGGTGAAGTGTGTCTGCGTCTTTTTTGTCCCTCCTGAATTTTACGATGCGCTCGGCCGGGCGCAATCCCGCCGCGCCGCTGCAGCTCGTGCCGTGCCACCCAGCGGCTCTGGATTGCAGCGGCGGCCCGACCTGGATCTGAGCCAGATCCTCAGAATTGGGCAGGGGGCGACCGTCCCGGCTTCCCTTTACGCCTACCACGACATGTTCTTAGAACCAACAAATGCTCTAAAAGCAAAGAAATGTTCTTAGACCGTTAAACCGATGTCAAAACAAGCCACACTTAGCAAGAAATGTTCTAAGACAATTTCGTGCAGACCACACAAGGGTCTTAGAAATTCGTCGGTGGGCCTATAGGCGAGCCGGGAAGCTTCGCCACTGCTTGACAGAACGAGGCTCGGCCTGGCATCCTCGCAAGCGCAATCTTGGCGGGGCGCGTCGTCTATGGCGTCCTTCCGGCAGCGGCGGCGCTGGGCTCTTGTCGAGACGCAAGCGGGAGGCAGCTTTCTGGTGCGGGCACTGGCTCTTCGCGGCGGCCGACGCTGCGGTCGGACCAGGGCCACAAGAACATCACCCCCAGAGCATGCGGCCCTCCGCCGGCCAAATCGCACGGAACATCCGTGGGCTGGTGCCGCGCTCAGACTGAAGCCGAGCACTGGCCCTCTTCTCTCCGAGAGAGGTCCTCCAGTGACAGCGGGCAACGCTGCGTTTGAGGTGCCATCTGCTTCGCCTCGGTCACCTGCCCCGGGTGCGCTCATACGCTTCTGCACAGCATGGAGTATTATGCGACGCCAGTCTCCGCAAACCGAACTTCCGCATTGCTTCCAGCTGCGCAGGCGCATTCGCGTGGGGCCGGCCCTTTTCGAAGGTGCGGAAGTGTACCCCCCCAGAGTCCAAGCAGCACTGCGCCAAGGTCTTTCTCAGCGTGCACCCGAGAGGTGACGGGTACGCAGAAGCAGGCCATCTCGGAGCCCATCTGGAGCGCCGCGAGGCCGCACTCTGGGCAACCCGTCGCGATGTAATCAACGGACTCCGCCTCTTTGATTGAACCCTCCCCTTCCGTCCTCCGAGGTCTCGTAGCTGCGCGCTGCGCTGACATGAAAAAAACTGCATACACATAAATGGTGGGCGCTCCGCGCCGATGTCTTGGATCCGAAGCGCGCCAGGGGCGGCGCCAGGGGCGGCTCCGCGCGCCGGGAGATCCGCGCGGAGCGCCACAAGCTTACTGTGTGCCGTCGTTTCTTCTTCGCGCATCTCTGCGTCACCCCCTCCCCCTCCGCCACCCGAGGTCCGGCAGCTGCGCGCTGCGCTGACACGAGGCGGCTGGGAGGTCGCGCGGGCTCCCTGCCCGCGCGAGGCCCCCACCCCGACCGCGCCCACGGGTCGAGCAGAAGGCCCCCGTCTGCGGAGTCTGCCCCCCCTCCCCCGCTCCTCCCGCCTGGCCCTGCTCCTCCTCCCGCCGTTCGCCCTGCGGTCGAGGGGGGGAACTGAGAGGGGGGGAAGGCCCCCCCCCTCACAAGGCGGCGAGCCTTCTCGGAGGCCCTCGCGCCTTCCGAGAGGCCTGTTGTTCTGTGCCCCCGGGGAAGGCTCGGGAGACTCCTCGGAGGGCCAGAGGACTCCCGAGCTTTCTCTGAGAAGGCCCGCCGTCTCACTCCCCCCCCTCCTCGCTCGCGGCCGACTGTTCCTCCTCTCGTCGTGGTGATGCCCCTTGCTCGCCTCTCCCCTTTTCCAAGGATCGGGGATAGACAGACCCCCCTTTAGTACAACGTGGTTCAGTGAACAAAAACGACCTGAGGCCCAAACCTGGCGGGCGCAAGCCTGGAAAAGAACGGCCACGGCGCCCTCTCGAGAACCGAAAACGGACAATTCACTAGTCGACATGTCACTGTTGGGGGCTCTGTCCACCCCCGAAAGGAGGGGGGGAAACAAAAAAGCGGCATGGATCTGCGCCGGACCCTCCTCCCTGGCGCGAGGAGCGCGACAGGGTCGGCGCCAGAGGCGGATTCCGGGATGCCCCAGGGCGGATCCAAGAAATCCGCGCGGAGCGCCAGGAGTTTATGTTTGTGGCGTCGCTTCTTCTTCGATCGTCGTGGGGTTGCCCCTTGCTCGCCTCTCCCCTGTCGCCCTCTCCTCACTTCTTCTTGTCTGCGGCGAAGAGGAGGAGGAGGAGGAGGAGGAGGAGGTGGAGGAGGAGCAGGAGGAGCAGGAGGAGGACGAGGAGGACGAGGAGGAGGAGGAGGACGAGGAGGAGGAGGAGGACGAGGAGGAGGAGGAGGAGGACGAGGAGGAGGAGGAGGAGCAGGCAGGAGGAGGGGGAGGAGGGGGAGGAGGGGGAGGAGGAGGGGGAGAGGAGGGGAGGAGGGGGAGGAGGAAGAGGAGGAAGAGGATGGGGAGGAGGAGGAGGAGAAGGAAGAGGAGGAGGGGAGAGGAGGAGGGGGGAGAAGGAGTTTTTTCTTTGGGAGGCCCTCCGAGGCAGAACAAAGCCTGTACCCTTAGCCGCGTCGAGCCGCGACTGCTGCCTCCCTCCGCCGCCGTGCTCGAGGCGGGCCTGGCGCTCTCTGCGTGGGCACTGCGGAGGTCGCCGTCGGCTGCCCGCTCCGGCCCCGTGGCACGTTCGCTGGCGAGGACGGCCCGAGGCTTCCACATGCCAGCCCAGTTGGGGGGGCGTTGCCATCCGTCCATCAATCCGTCCTCTTCAACCCCTCTTCTAGAGCCCTGATCCCCCTTCCCCCTCCTCCCTCGTCCTCCGTCTCCTTCCTCCTGCTTCCTCCCTCTCTTCCCTCCTTCTCCTCCCTCGTCCTCCTCCCTCCTGCTCCTTTAAAACTCCTCCATCCTCCCCCTCTTCCTCCTCCTCCCCCTGCTGATCATCTTCCTTCTCCTTCTCCTCCTCCTCCTCCTTCTCCTCCTCCTCCTCCTCCTCTTCACTCCCCCTTCTGATCATCTTTCTCCTGGGGAGGGAGGAGGGGAGGAAGACCACCAGCTCAGTGCCCCTTTCTCCTCAGGCGGTAGGAGGTTCTAGGTTTTCTTACGCATTCGTAAATTCCTGAAAGCTCGCTTTCCAGCAGCTGCGCCTCACCACGAGCGCTCCATAGTTGCCCGGATCTGTCCGAACAACCGCTGGAGACCCGAGTTATGACTCGGAAGCCTGAAACTCAAAGAGAATCGGCCCCTCCTTTGATGTTGCAACGATTACGTGACGTCGGCCTCCATGGGCTTCGACCACCTCCCTGGGGCCGGGCTTTCATCACGGAGTGGTACCCGGGCCAGAAAGCGGGTTCAATTCGGAGGCTGGACACGACGGAACCCGGCTGTCGCGTTTTTGTTGATTCGCCGCTGGGATCCGAGGGGAGCTCCCCCTCCTCTCCCACGTGGACCTCTGAGCGCATGTCCGCATAAGTAAGATATGTAAGTGTCCCTCCTTCCTCGACTCTGACCTCACTAAGTCTTGAGTGCACCTCCAAAACATCGCAAACCATTAATTGTTTGGGGCCTACGTATACTGAGGGTTGCTCACACCCAACAATCATCATCAAATAATTAGTGAGGGGTGGAGGAAGAGGGCAAGAACAAGGGCACGGACGACAGGGCGAGCTGAAGAACGCGCAGACTCCACTGCCAGCCAAGAGCTTGGGGGGGGGGGGGCCAGCAAGACTGAGGACCTCCTGCGCTGGACCCCCTGGCGCGCGGAGCGCGCCAGGGGCGGCGCCGGAGGCGCCGCCCGGGGGCCCAGCGCGGATACAAGCAATCCGCGCAGAGCGCCAAACAATTATGTTCATGGCGTTTTTTCTTCAAGAGAAGGGCCCTCTGCGCACCAGCCCGAGCTGGAAGGCCAGCCGGGGGTCCTCGATCCAGACGGTGTTCACGCCGGTCAGCCAGCGGATGGTGAAGGTCCAGCCTTGCGGCGCAGGCCCGTGTAACGGAGCCCTGGCGGCCCATCAGGCGGGCCCTCCTCCTCTAGGGAATCGAACAACACATAAACATAAACACTCGAAGGTCCGCGCGGATTTCTTGGATCCGCGCTGGACTCCCATCCCTGGCGCGCGGAGCGCGCCAGTAGCGGCGCCGGAGGCGCCGCCAGGGGGCCCCAACGACGATCCGAGAAATCCGCGCGCACCTCCGAGTTAATATGTTTATGTCATTGTTCGTTCCCCTATCCTCGCTCATCGTACCTCTTCCCTTTCTCCCTCATCCCTCCTCTCTCATGCCTCCTCCATCCTCCTCCCTCCGCACCCTCCCCCACTGGATCCTCTCGCCTGGTCCCCGGCATCCTACTCACCACCGTCCTCGTCCTCTTGTGGCTGCACCTCACCCTTCCCCGTCTTCCACGCCCTCCCCTCCGTATCCTCCACACCTACCTCTGGAGGGCGGTCGCTAAAGGCACTCTGACAAAATAATAACATAACAAGGTAACCACATATCAGACACGGCATGTTGCAGTCTGGTGGAGGATGGCTGGGTCGCCCATCTTCCTCCTCCTCCCCCAAGATGCACGATGCCTTCATGTTTCAAGACGGGGCCAAGATGCACGATGCCTTCATGTTTCAATACGGGGTCCAGCTTCTCACTCCGAGTCGTTCTCTTAAAGCCTGAAAACACCGCCCCGACTCTGTGTTCATGATTTGTTTGAACCATTTGACGTCTGGGTTCAAAGGTCAACGACCAAACCCCTGACCTCTGCCGGGGCGCGCTCTGGTCAGGATTTCGAGACGAACCCATTCGTGGACACGAGAAGGCTCAGACATTCCCCAAGACTAAGCGCGCTCAACTACTCGCAACAAAACTACATGCCTAATGGCCTGGATCTGGCATGGGGGATCTGCGATACACTACCTCGAGGCAGACAAGTGTTGTTATCGGGACGTTCGCGAGTAGGCACTTTGCGAGTAGTAAAACGCGCTCGGTGAAAGCCAGACGATGTACCGGCAATGAATCGTCGACGTCGGCGATGCATCGGCGACGCCGACGTGAAGCACATCGGCCTCCACATCGAGCCGCATCGGCGATGCATCAGCGATGCGGCGCGATCCTCCGACCCCATCTGCTCCGACCTCGTCTAGGAGGCCTAGACTGAGAAGGCTCAGAAACACCCCGAGGCAACCCAGAACTTTCGAACCTGGAGCCTCGCTCCTCCTCGAACTCGCCCTTCCCCCCGCGCGTCCGGCTGCTGCTACCCCTGTGTTTCCGGCTGCTGCTGCGTTCACGCCTGGGTTCAGGTTTCAGTTCGAGGCAAGCACAGTTGTGGACTCGAGATGGCTCAGAAGCACCCCGAGGCAGCCCAGAGCTCTCGAAACACGAGCCTCCCTCCGCCTCGAGCTCGACCTCCCCCCCCCCCTGCGCTTCCGGCTGCCGCTCCCCATCCGCCCTCGCCTCCGTCGTCCTCCCCCCGCCTCTGGAGCTTCCTCCGCCGTCGATCATTGCCCGAGTCCTGAGACAGACATTGAGCAGGATCCGACCGCCCTGGCATTCGCACAGGCCTACCACGACATGTTCTCATAATGAAAACATGTGCGGACAACAACAAAAACAGTGCTCTTACTGCATTAAGCAGATGTTTTGAAACAAAACGGTCACAAACCGACATATTCTTTTCTTTTAAAAAAAAAAAAAAAAAAAAAATCAAGCAACAACCCAAAAACATGTCGTGCAAACCACAAGAAAATTTGAAAACATTCTTGGGTGAACCTATGGACAGGCCAGGACGCTTCGCCACTGCCTGAAATCGGAAGCCGCGGTCTCGCCGCTCGGGACCCGCGCTGGGTGGGCCTCGGCCATCGAATCGATCGTGGTTTTGCTGGTCCACTGGGACGGCTCCTGGGGCGCACCCTGCCAGTACTCGCCCACAGGTCAGCGAGCACAATTGGGCTTAGGTCGGGCATGTCCTGCTACAGGAGGACTTTGAGCGAAGAAATCAAATATGCACAAATAGTTAAACATAAAAGTTATATCATCCTCAGAGTACTGCTTGACTACCTTTGACTTTTCCTCCTGTAGAGGTACGTGCCCGACTTAAGCCCGGAGGTCAGCGAACGCAACTGGGCGGGCAACGCCTCGAAGAATCCAGACGGCTCCGTGTCACCATGTTCGGCCTGCGGGAGCCCTCAGCACTGGGCCGCCGGCCCTCTGGGCGTGGGTGGGTTCACAAACTCAGTCTTCTCCTTACCAAAACTCTTCCTTCCCCTGCTCGGCGGAGGGGTTTACCCCTCCTCCTGCCCCCTCCTCTGGGTCAGGACGGGGCGCCCCGCAAGGGGTTGGAGCGCCCAACATCGCCCACAATGGCAACAAGAGGGCTTCAGTGAGCGCAAACTGGCCTCCAAAATGGCTCAAGATACCTCAAGAAGATGGCTCAAGATAGCCGCGGACAAACATCCAGGAGGCCCCAAGGCGGCCCCAAAACGGATTCAAGTGCCCTCTGGGCCTTCAAGGACCCCCCAAGAGGCCAACATGGCTCTAGAACTGAAGTTTCAATCAAGTGTTTTGCCTTCTCGCCTTTTCATTTCCGATGGGTTCTCGAGGCCTTACGATGGCCCCCCATTGACCCAAGGGAGCCCCCAAAGGGGCACAACAGGGCCTCCCAAAGGCAAAGATGGCCCCAGGATGCCCCCCAGAACCTTCCAACGAGCCCCAAGACTCTCAAAATGAGCCCCAAGAGGGCCCCAGGAGTGCCCCGAGAGGTCCAATGGGGGCCCTAAGAGAGCCCCTAAGATAGCCTTCGTGGTCCCTCAAGAACCTCTCACAACAATATACCTCCAAAACTCGACGTCAAATCCTCCTTGTCATCGTCCGTTTCTTCCCTCCTCCTCTCCCACCTCCTCCCTCCTCCTCCTCCTCCTCCTCCTCCTCCTCCTCCTCCTCCCCCTCCTCCCCCTCCTCATCATCATAATCATAATCATCATCATCAGCATCATCGTCATCATCATCATCATCAGCATCAGCATCATCATCATCATCATCATCATCATCATCATCATCATCATCAATTGAATCGTGACGCATTCCTCCTCCGCTTCCTCTCTTCCTCCTCCTCTTCTTCCCCCTCCTCCACCTCCTCCTCCTCTGATTATCCTCCTCTCCCTCTTCCTCCTCCCCCTCTTCCTCATCCTCCTCCTCCTCCCCTTCCTCCTCCTCCTCCTCCTCCTCCTCCTCCTCCTCCTCCTCCTCTCCTCCTCCCGCCCCAAGATGGCCCCAGGAGGTCGAGCATGGCTTGAGATTGCCTCCAACAGAACTCCAAGAGACCTCAATACGGTCCCAGGGAGCTGAGCACGGCTCAGGATAGCATCCGACAGCCTCTAGCCAAACCTCGCTCACGATAGCATCCAAAAAGGCCTCAAGCGAGCCTCCGATCGTGTCTGCATGGCACGGTGGGGATACTTTTGCTTGATCGCGACCACGGCGAGGAACAGGTCGGGCGGAGTCAGGAAGCTGGTGGGGATATTTTTTTGACTGGCGGCTCCAAGGAAGAGTCCAAGAAACGGGGCGGGCGCGTCTGGGGCACAGGGCGAGATAATTGGTTACGAAGGCGCCTAGGCCAACGTAACAGATGCACCTGCAAGAGGCAAAATGCCCCTCATTAAGCTGCGAGCCACCCGCGAACGGGAAAGCAAACACCGGACAGAAATGGCGGAGAGGAGTCGCACAGTGGTGCCAGCTCAAACCATCCAGCTCACAGAGCACAGGCTGGGGCAGGGCAGCCAGCTGGTGGGGATACTTTTTTGATTCGCGGCCCGCAAGGAGAAGTCCAGAGGGCGGTATGACCGAGGCTGGGGCACAGCGACAGATAATTGGCGCGACGCCGCGCAGAGTGCACATGCAGATGATTAGCAAGAGGCGGCCACTGTTCAGCCCGCGGGAGGGGGGGAACCGAACGCGAGCCCAGCCGCTGAGCGTGTGCCAGCAGAAGAGGGCAACCGCGATGCTGGTGGGGATACGCAAAGCGTCAATAGTAATAAAACATAGTTCAGGGTAGAACTGCCGGCCCTGGGACCAGGGTCGGGACTTCAGGGGCCCCCGCTTCAATCTAACAAAGAGACATATGATGTCTGGGAAGAAGAAGAAGAAGGTGCGCCACGTAAGTATAGTGGCTATGCCAGCCAGCAGTATAGTTTCCTTTCATGATTCCACCTCGCCCATGAGAGCGCTTGCTGGCATCGTGGCTGCATGTGCTCAAGCCAGTTGGATGGAACGGCCGCCGAAAGCTTTCAGAGCACAGGCACAGCAACGAAAAGGAAAGACACTTGGGCAGCGGGACGCGACGACCTCGAGCGATGGCTTACGCGGGCTGCTCACCCGGCGGTCCCTGCAGAAAGTGGCCTCCGCGCGGCCTTACGCGAGCAGCTCACGCCCAAATCAACGCTCCCCCCCCTCTACATCCGAGGCGAAGATTACTACCACGGCCTTGAAACTCGTTTCTGGGGATCCGAAGGGCGGTCGATGTGGATACGGCTTGGTCAAAAAGGCCTCATAATATACCCATGTTCACTGCCCCCTAGATGCCGGAGCGCCGGCTTCCCAAGCGGAGGATAGCCATGTATAAGCCCCCTGTCCGGGGAGGAGCAGGCAAGAATTGTACAGAACACGGTCGGCGGTCCTCGCAGGTTCCCCCGAGCGGCGCCAGACCCTCCTCCCCAGCGCGCGGAGCGCGCGCGCGCTGGCGGCGCCGCCTGTGGGCTCCAACGCCCATCCGAAGCTCACGTTTCTGTTTGTGTCATTGTCTGCCCCCCGAACAGCTCCCGGTGGCCTCGAGTAAGGCTCTGCGATGGCGCTCGACGGCGCCCGAGGCGCCCACGAGAGCGGCCGGCCGGCCCCAGCGATTGGCACACGGGCGAGCCTTCGCTGTGGCGCGGGGCCTGGTCGAAGAGCGGCCCGACATCGTCGCACGGGCTGGGAGGGCGGTCGTCGGCGAAGCAGTCGCCTGCCCACCGCCCTTCGTTGTTCGTTGCGGAAGCTGCTGCCTCCGCCACCAAACTCATCCTACTCCTCCTCCTCCTCCTCATTCTCCTCCTCCTCCTGCACTTCCTGCCGCCGTCTTTCAGATTGATCGCTCCTCCTCGTGCTCCTCCATATCCCCTCCTCGTCCTGAGGGAGGCAGGAGGAGAGGAGTCCTCCTGCATCCTCCTCCTCCTCCTCCTCCTCCTCCTCCTCCTTCCCTCCCCTTGAGATGGAGGTGGAGGAAGACGAGGACGACACGTGGGAAGGCCCCCGAGCCTCCAACGTGGCGATTGTTTCACACGATGAGTATCCCCAGAGGTCTCGGTTCTTTCCCAAGGGCCCACTTCTCAGCGACATGAACCGTTACTTGACGGCCCTGGGGCCAAGTACAGTCGGCCCGTATCATAAGGATGCGCGATAAGGATGCAAGAGCCTTGGACGCCTGCTTCGAGGCTTCTCGAGCGGGGCGCGGCCGACGAAAGTGGCCAAGGATGGACCGAGGAGGCAAGGATGCGAGGGTATGCTTGGGAATGTTTCTCGTCCTTGCTATGCGGGTTGCCCGTAAAGGCCGTCAACGCCCAAGAACTCCAAAAAGCCCTTCGTCGTGATTCTCCAGCGATTCGAAGAAGTCTGGATGTCGGGTCGTACAGTCGGACCTAGGCCAGAAGAACATCCCTCAAGAACGACAGACCCTCCGCCGGCCAAAACACAAAACATTCAAGGGAATCCTCCCCCAGGATGCACAAGCTCCCCCAGGATGCACCAGAACATCCAGCAAGCACGAAGAGCACTAAGGTACCCTCCCCGAACCGACCTTGATCTTATACCTCGGCCCGACTGTACATCTGGTCTCTGGCGGCATCTCGGGACAATCCGGGCATGCTCTCGGCGAGGGGCACCTCTTGGAAGGCATGTCCAGGCTGATAAGCCTTCAGGGAAGCACAGAAATACCCCAGAATCCCGACTGTCGAACCTAGCTCAAGAAGGGGGGGATATCCAAGGGAGGCGAGTCATTCTCACAGTCAACGTGATACCATGGGGAACGGATGAAGCTGCGATCGAAGGAACGAACGAACAAACGAACGAGGAGGAGGAGGAGGAGAAGAACGAGGAGAAGGAGGAGAAGGAGGAGGAGGAGGAGGGGACTGAGGAGGCTGTCGGGGCTTTTTGTGGCCACGGTGAGCCTCGGGCATGGATGGCCTCCCCAGTGTAGCTCTGCGGAGCAGCCCGAAGGCAAGACCCCTCACGAGCCAAACGTGGTCCTCATTTCCTCGCCTATGGGCCGACGCTCACCTCTGCCGGGGAAGATACGGCAACTCCTCGATGCCTGGAGGGCGAGGCCGGCAGGGGGCCGAGGGTCATCCACCCCTCCTCGATCCCCATTCCCTCCGCCTGCGATCCGCGAACCCCCCTCCACATGGCGGAGCGTAGGAGGGGGATATGGGGCAGGAGGGGAAGGCTTCTTGATTACAGGAGGCTGCTTCTCGGAAGGCGCCAGCCTCACACCTTTTGTTAAGACCCGCGCCTTCTAAGAAGCAGCCTCCTTGTAAGAAGCATTCCCCTCTGTCGCCACCCCCCCTCTGCGCGTGTCCTCGCTTTTCGGGCCATCACTCAGGCCTCCGGCGCCGTTTGAAACGATCTGGGCACCCCCGGAACGCCCTCGGCGAGGCGCAGTTGCTGGAGAGCCTCCCGAGGCTGGAAAACCGCCGAGAAGCAACGAGCACGACTGAAAACCAGCGAAAACCAACGAAGACCCTCAAGCCCTCCATCCTTGATCCTCAGCGTCTCGACTGTGCCGCGCGGCCGACGAGGCGCCCTCCCCCCCCCCGCCCCCCCTCGTCGCCCACGGTGGCCGGCGCACTCACGCGCAGCAGGCCTGCGGCGCGGATGGGCCCTCTCCGCCCACTACCTGTCGCCGTCGCCGTGCTGGCCATCGCTCGGACGTCCATTTCCTGTGTTTTTTTCGGTTTCGTGCGTGGCTTTGTGGCGAAATGATCAAGGATGCTCCTCGATGGTCCTCGCCGGGGAACAAAAACGCACACGTCCGAGCGATGCCAAGCGTGGCGCCTGTCCTTCGGCGTTGTCGCGGCCGCTCGTCGTCGGCGTCGTCGTCGACGGAGGTTCGCGGGCTCGACGCTGGAGGATCGACGCTTTCCTCGTGCTCTTCGGCGGTCTTTGGGCCTCCGTGGAGCTTCTCGTCGCCACGGCGAGGATCCCGTGGAACTCCTGGTCAGAACTGAAGGGGCCCTGGGACACACAAATAAATACACACAAATAACATGATTCCCCATATTTTATCATATTTTGTGGGGTTTTGTCTTCCCCCCACTTCCCATATTTTTCAATATTTTCCTTGGGATCGACGATTAATTATGTCTGTGTTTTTTCCCCTCCTGCAGAACGCGCTCCAGGAAGTCACAGGGGTCGTCAGCCGTCGCCGTTGGCGGTGGTCGTAATCGGTGGTCGTCGTCGGCTGTCGTTCGTCATCGTCGCCGGCCCCGTCCTCCTCCTCCCCAACAGAGGGAAGTCGAGTCGAGCTGGGAGCGTAGACAACCTGTCGGTGTATCGTGGTGTCCACAAACCAAGACAAACGCTTCATGCCGCACGGCTGCGCCAACAGCTGCGCGCATAGATCGCACGGAGCGCAGGGGGCAAACTCAAGGGGGACTCGTTCCGCCCTTCCCCTAGGATCACGACGACCATGGCGGTCGCGACGCCTGCGGCGGCCACGAGGACTGCGGCGACGGCAACGATCAGGTCGGACATGTACTCCTACAGGCGGATTTGGGACGAACAGTAAATAATGTACAACAACTGCCCAAACAGAACAAACAGCAGCACACCGAAAATCGTCCCCAGACTACTGTGTCACTACCTTGGACATTCCTCCTGTGGGGGGACGCGCCCGCCTTAACCACGAGGACTGCAGCGACGGCAGCCGACGGCGCCGCCACCGCCGACTGCGTCGGCGGCGGCGGCGTGGCACGACGACTGCGGCGGCGACGGCGGCGACGGCCACCCTGGCGGGGCGGCGGGACGCCAAAGGGCGGGCGCCAGAGGGGGCGCGCCGTTCAGCGTGGGCAGCGCCCGCCCGAGCGCCTGGCGAGCGGAGGGAGGGGGGGGGGGGCTCCGCCGCTCCGCCCGCCGCGGGGCGCGCGGGGGTGGGGGGGGGGGCAGTGCACCGCGCCAGAGGGTTGAGGAGGCAGGCGCTCCCGTCCACACGGGGGTCATCAAACCGTTGGCCAAACACGTGTATGCGGTCGGGATGGTTCAAATCAGGAGGGGGCGGCTCTGTACACCAAGATGCTGGTGGCAACCCGCGCGTACAGAATGCGTAATGCGCTAGCAAGTTCATCTCGTCGTGCTGCGAAAGCACGAGGTCACAAGCCCTGTCTTCTGAATACACGGGTCATCGACTGCAGCGTTGGCCTGACACTCCAAAATGCGATGAACCTTATTGTCTGCGCAGCGAATTCATTGTTCGAGTATCTGGTACCCGCACGCGCATGCCTGACAGCGGGTGCCCTTCCAGATCAAATCGACGGCGGCGCATTCCACAGCACCTGTTGGATCGTGTGTACCTTTACGCTGTTTTACCTTTACGCTGTTATGGTTGAAGCTCTTTGCGCAATACCGTAAGATCAGCACCATCCTCCAACACTTTACCTTGTAGGTGTTGCCTGGTTTGCTTCCATAGCACCAGCTGCGCTTCGTTTAAGGCTGTCCCCAAATAGGTGAGCAAATCATTCAGTGCGTCGATGGGGGGACAATACGGGGAAGAATGGGTTCTAGAATTCTGGATGTGGCGACTGAGTCGGAAAGCGAAGCTTACTGGAACAGGGAGCTCCTGCTCCTTGGCCAGCTCAGGTTTACTGTAGGCTTGGGGCCAGACCCCTCGAGAGATCGGATCTCAGTAATCGACACGATTACCCATCGGTCAGAAGACGTAGAGAGAAACATGAGGTAGGAAGGCGTTGAAAGTACAGTCAACCCGTATAGCAAGGATGCGCGATGTGGATGCAAGGGCCTTGGACGCCTATTTCGAAGCTTTTCGAGCGGGGCGCTGCCAGCGAAAGTGGCCAACAATGGACCGAGGAGGCAAGGATGCAAGGGTACCCTTGGGAAGGTTGCCCGTCCTTCCTATGCGGGTTGACTGTAGACTGGGTGTCCACCCGCCCCCCAAAGAGGACGGAAAAGGTGAAACCCCTCGATCATTGAAGCAGGAAGGCGCTTAACGCAGGCTGGAATCTGGGACTCCAGAAATATCTTCCTTCAACGATGGCTGGGCCAATGCCTTCCTTCAACGACCCCTGGGCACCTTCAACACGACCTGGACAATTGATGGGGGATGATGGGGAGGAGGCGTTGGCGCGCGGAGGGGTGGATGGGGGGCGTGGCTGCCTCTGCTCCGCTCCTCCTCCTGCTCCTTCTCCTCCTCCTCCTCCTTCTCCCCCTCCTCCTCCTCCTCCTCCTTCTCATGCTCCTGCTCCTCCTCCTCCCCCTCCTCCTCCTCCCCCTCCTCCTCCTCCTCCTCCTCCTCCTCCTCCTCCTCCCCGGGGCGCAAGGGAGAGGCGAAGAGGGAGGGAAACTCTGCAGGAAATGGTCCTGGCCCCAGCCGCGGCCCCAGCCCAAGCCCCAGCAGAGCCCAAGCCCCAGCAGAGCCCAGCAGAGCGTCAGCGTCGTCGTCGTCGTCGTCGCCGCTGCCGCCGCCGCTGCCGTCGTGGGTCTGCGGCACTGGCCGCTAGGCCTTCGCAATCTGCAGGAAAGGCACAAACATCGATGCAATCGGCCCCCGAACCCAGACATCCGACGCCTTGAAACGAATCAATCGTGTGCGCTTCCTGCCCATCCCTCAAAACAATCTCTTTCTCTCTCTCTCTCTCTCGTGGTGGGTTCAACGGCGTAAGCAGTCTGTCGACTCACGCTGGAGATTCCAGGATGTTCCAGCTGTCTCGATGTCTGTATGTATGTGTGCATCTTCTGATGCACCTTGATGAGCTGTGCAAAATCAGGGGCTGCATTGCCTTCCTTAGAATCACGTCGACCTATCACTTTGACCCCCGCAAAACGATTGCAGAAGAGACAAGGCCTCAGGGGATCCCTCCTCTCATCCTCCTGGTGTCCATTCCTCTTCTACTCTGAAGAGGCGTTGCCGGCACAAGGAAACAGGAGAAGGACGAGGAGGAAAGCGACGGGCACAAGCAGGGGGCAGGGTGGAGGACGGCGATGGGGGATGGCGAAGCAGCATGATGAGGGTGAGGACGTCGAGGAGAAATCTAGGTCACCTAATTCGCGCCCCGCGAGGTGCAACGCGCGGATATCTTCGCGCCGACGCGCTGCCGCCCTGGAAAAGGGTGCCTCTTTGGCCAAAACCGCGATGCTCAAAGAACAAATATCCTCTCGACCCCACGGGTGGCGTAAGAATTCCGGGGATGTATGAGGAGCATCGGAAGCGGTTAATAAACAACGGCAATAAACAACGGCTCCAATACGCGCAAGATAACGAGACATGGCTGAACCCACCTCCCTGGGAGCGCGCCAGGGGCGGTGCCAGAGGCGCCGCCAAGGGAATCCAGTGCCGATCCAAGGAGTCCGTGCGGACCTTCAACCTGGTGCTTCTACAACGTCTCGTGAATCACAATCATGAGACAAATTCCGTCTTCCTTCTCCTGGTGCGGCGGGGACGGGGCGGCGGGCACCGCGTTGACCCCCTCGTCCGATATCGGGCGTGTGACTGGGCTTCTGGCGAACAGGCAGACGACCACCCACAGCGTCCACCATCCACAGGCCTGCGGTGAAAAGACGGACGGGAAGCAGCAGCAGCACACCCAGGCACAACAAGGCAGAGAAGGCAACAATAAAAGACGTGGGCACGGCGGGCGGAAGCGGGTGGGGAGGGGAAGGGGAGCAGCCAGTGAACATACGTGGGGGAAACGCCTCTGCGCACGAATCCACGCTTGGCCAACAAAGCAACCTTTACCGGGGAAAACCATAGAGCTGGATAGGGCGACGCGTAGTGTCCAAAGCCAGCTGACGGAGAATTTGGTCAGATCCCCGCCGGCATGTTGCGAATGAGGGCAGCGGCTTTGCGCATCCAGCGTGGGGCATCACCATTATGTACCTCGGATCGCCCAAGGCGCCTCACCAAGGTAAGTCCTCATGTTTGAAACCAGCCCTCAAACAACATCCAGACGCAGCTTCTTGATTGATGACTGCGCGATCAGCCTTCAAACGCTATTACGACAACATTACTCATCCAGTTCCGGTTGTAAAGGGGCAGCAGTGGCAACAGCATTAGCAACTTCAGTAAACGTATACGTAGCACCAGAAACACTTACATTGGCAGCGGCAACACAAGAAGCCGTCACAGTACCAATGGACGGTGTAGGCGTTCTAGCGGTTGGAACGCCAGCTGCTATGACGAGCAAAATGCCAAAACAAAGCATTTGCCGCAGTGGTAACAGGAACAGTCTCGACAGTACCAACGTGGTGGCAGAACCCGCCGACCCCCGCTTGCCGGGGGCGACAAGACGTGTGAGACTTCTGGCTGTCCCCCTCTCCCGTTCCACCTCCCCAGGGTCCAAAATCGCGCTTGAGGGGGGGGGATCCCCCCGTTCCCCAACGCACCCCCCTGGGCCACTGGAGCCTGAGACTGGACCACGCCGTCCCAGACAGCCCTTAAAACGGCCCAGACGCAGCCAATGAAGGCCCAAAGACGGCCCAAGAGGCCCTAAATAGTGCCCCAAAAACTCACATTTTCGCCGAGACAGGCCCAAGAGGGTAGCCCGCACAGGCCCTGTGAGCACTCCCCCAGAAGATGCCCCCCCAAGAACCCCAACTGGCTCCAAGAGGAACCCGAACAGAATCCAAAGGGCCCCTCAAACCCCCAAGGAGCCTCGACAAAGCTCCTAGAGGCCGCCACCTGAGCCACCACCAGGCCCCGAAGATGTCCTCATTAGCTCTAGGAGGCTTCAAGCATGGTCAAATCACACCCCTCGAAAGTTCCCCCAAATAATACCCCCCCAATTGCACCAGAAGAGGCAACACACAGAGCCCGTTATAGTCGATATCCTCCTTCTTTCCCTCCTTCATCTCACCGTCGTCGGCATGTGTTTCACAATTTCCGATTCCTCCCCCATCCTCCGAATCCCAAACAAGGCACGGAGTGAGCGCATCCTCAAGTTCCCTGCCCAATCAACTGAGCCACGGTCTCCGATCAGAACATTTCCTAAGGGGTCTGGGCCCGAATCGCCGGAGTACCATGCTTCGGATTGGTGGAACGCCACTCCACTATTAGCCCTCTAAGCATGCTCGCCGGCATTGCTTGCTTCGCTCCCATTACCAGACCATCGCTCCGAGGAGCGTCGTCCCGCTAACTCGTTCCCACAAGAACGCTCCACTACAGATCGCGGAGCGCTGTTCCGCTAATTTAAATTGGCTTCGAACAACGGGTTTACAAATGATAGCGTCCTTCTAGCCCGCGACTCGGACTCCAACCAACAAAATACGATCGCTTCGTTTACATTAGGGAAGCGGCGCTCCGCTAACTGGCTTCGAACTGTGGAATTCGCCACAAGGAGCCATACGGCGCTTCGCTAAATGGCCCCGGACCAGAAGATTACGACTGCGTCGCTCCCAAAAACGATACGGCGCTCCGCTAACTGGCCCAGGACCATAAACGGAGCGGCGCTCCACGAATGGCCTCGAACCAGATGACACATATATATATATAATATATATATATATATATATATATATATATGTACCATATATATACACAGATTGCTCCGCTCCCGTTTGCGGAACGCCGCTCCGCTAATTGGTCGTAAACCATCGGCTTGGCAGACGTTCCCATTGGCGGAGCGGCTCTCCGCTACTTGGCCCGAACCAGGAGGATTACGAGTGCTTCGCAAATAGTAGCGCAGCGGCGCATACATTAGCGGAGCGGCGCATCGCTAAGTGGCCTCAGACGAAAGGACTACGATTACTTCGCCCCCTTCTTATCAAACGGAGCGCCCCTCCGCAAACTGGGCTCGAAGAACAAGGTTGCGATTGCTTCGCTCCCATTATTAATTATGGTGCGTCGCTCCGCTAATTTGCATAAAGCCAGAGAATCACAATCGCGCTCTCCCATTAGCGGAACGCTGCTCCACACATCGACATAAAATGCGAGAATTACAATCATCACTCCTGAGGACTCTTCTGACGGGGGCCGGAGCCTACCCTGCCGAACCTCTCGGAGCTTGTCCCGGCCTGTCGGGGGCTTCCCGCGGCTTGTCGCAAGTACCATTCGGACCCAAGAGGGCCCCAAGACAGGCAAGGTGGTCCCCCAAGAGGCACCCAAAACCGACCATCCCAGAGACCCCAGAACTGCTCGAACAGGCCCCGGAACCAAGGCACGGTGGCGGGATGGGCCGAAGGCCATTAGATATCTCAGAAGTTTCCTCCTTCTTCCTCACTCTCCGAAACCAAGATGAGAAGGTTCTATCGACCATCAGCGACGTCACTCCGAGACCACATCGTTTCATGCGCGACGCGGCGCAGCATATTTCAACATCCCCTATCGAGAAAAACACAAGATAAGGGAGCCCCATGCGCGGAGTAGCGACTGCGCGTCGGCCACTCCTCCCACGGGACACTCTTGAGGCATCCAACGGCCGCATCGGCGCCCAAGAAACGGCCAGAGAACGCCCAGAAAATTCAGACGAGGCTCAAAGACGCCCACCAAGAGGCCCAAAGGCCTCACTTTGTCTGGTGGTCGCTGGAATGGCGTAAGCCTCTTGAATGATTGATCGTCGCATCAGGATGCCATCGCACGGATGATGGAGCGGAGAACTTGAGATTGACAGGTTCCACCAACGCGTCGTAGATACTGAGTGGCTTGTCCTTAGATGTTTGGGCTCCCGCATTTGGTCATGCAAATGCTCTCGAAGGCAGCCAGCACCCTGGAAATCCAGGCGCTCAATGGCGCCTTTTGGAGTCGGCGCGTGATCTGCTCAGAGGCGCTGAGAACGAGGCCGCGGTCTCAACCTCCGACATGCTGTAAGAGACCTCCACGGAACCGTCCTCAGGATCTCTTGGGGCCTCTTGAGTCGAGTTGGAAGCCCTGGAGGCCCGCCCAAGATGCCACACTCAGTGAACGAGCAAGAGTTGCTGTATGATTTTCGTGCGCTCGCCGCTTCGGTCATGAAGCAGCCCAGGCGGCGCAGGAGGCCCCCCAAAAGAGCTCCAAAAGGCCTCACGCGGGAGCCCAAACGAAACAGGCGGGCTCGAGATGGGGAGAGCAGAAGGTACCGATACCCCTACCTCCGCCCCGGGGTGCGCTCCGACCAGCATGTCGGGGCGAATCCGGCGGTGGCGACGAGGGCCTCCCAGGCGGCCCAAAAAAAGGGAAAGGGAGCGAAGGGCAGCGGTATGTTGAGCAGGGACCGACCGTCCCGGCATTCCTATGGTCAGACCACGAGATGTTCTTAGAACCCAGAAATGTTCTAAGAACAGAAACAATGTTCTTAGAACATGATCCCGATGTGTTAAAACAAGACAGGTTCCGCCCGAAATGTTCTAAGAACATTTCGTGGGAACCACGCAAGGTTCTTAGAACATTGTTTGGTGGGGCTATAGGCGAGCCAAGACGCTTCGCCACTGCTTGCCCTTGCCTCCTCGGACGAAGCTGCCCCCGGGAGGCGCCCCGGCTGGCCCTTCCGGACGCTTCTCGGTGGCCCTCGGCGCCACGGGCCTGCCGCCAACCGCTCCGCGGGCGGAGCCGCCGTCATTACCAGCCTCGAACTTGTCCCTATCCCTAAGATTGGCACGCCACAAGGCGATGACAATCTTCAGCGCCCTCAAAAAATAAGGGAATCCCTGAGATTGGCATCGTGAGGAGGAGATGCCCAGCATAGGGATAGGGGTATGTTCCAGGCTGGTAACGTCCGTCTCCCCCTCCGCGGGGGCGGGGGTCTGCGCCGGGCGGGGGGACCGCGAGACGCGCCGAGGCCGCTGTGCTTCCGCTTTCGTTTTTTTGTTTTGTTATGATTTTTTGTTGTTTGCCGCGAGGGCGAGGCACGCCGAGAACGAGGACTTGACTGCGGCGCCCGAATTGATGCCTGGGCTTGTTTTGCGGGCGAGGGAACGGTAGAGCATAGACTTGCTCGCTGTCGGGGGCGCCTGCCCCAGTGCGGCTGGAAGGTTTACACCCTTACGGTGGCACGTCAAGGTATAAACTTTCCAGCCGCCATGGGGCAGCGCTCCCGGCGACGGAACAGTTTATTGTATACCGTTCTTCGCCCGCTAATGTGTGCCTTTCGATTCAAAGATCAGCCAACGGCAACATCGATGGCAGCGGAACCCGTGGACCGGCCCTGACCCACCACAGCCCCCATGCAGCGCTGTGACGTCGCGGCTTCGCGACAGCAGCCACCGCGACAGCAGCCTCGACAGCGGAACTGGCGGCGCGCCCCACCTCAGGCGATGCCAACCATGCGCACGTGCCCGTCCGTCGGGTGGGGAGGGGGGGATGGGGGCAAACCGATACCGATCCCGCTGCAGTGCAGCCTGGTCATCGGGATGCGCGATACAGTAAGGATGCAAGGCCCTTGGACGCGCAGATTTGATGGCAATGCTCGAAGCACATGGCCCATGCCTCAGGGTTAATGGCTACAGCCAACCCGTATAATAAGAATGCACGATGCGCCTGCAAGGGCCTTGGAAGGCCATGTCGACACTTTGGCAAGCTTGGCGCGGCCAGCGAAAGCGGCCAAGGAGGAGCCGAAGGGGAAGGAAGGAGCCGAAGGGGAAATCTGCTCATCCTTGCTGTGCGGGTGGACTGTAGGACTAGGTCGGGCATGTCCTCCTACAGGCGGGTTTTGGAAGAAAAATGAACAAGAATTCCAAAATGCTCAAAACTGATAAAAAGAAAAGCAATTGAAAAATAGTACCCAGACTATTGCTTCACTATTCTTGAATGCTCCTTCTCCCTGGGTTGCGATTTGACCCGCGGCGGCGGGGGCCCCCCTAAGGAGTCCAGAAATGCGAAAACGGCAGGAGGGGGAGGCGGGGGAGGAGGAGGAGGAGGAGGAGGAGGACGAGGAGGAGGAGGAGGAGCAGGAGGAGGGGGAGGAGGACGAAAAGGAGGGGGAGGAGGAGGGGTAGAATACTTATGGATTCGCGGTAAGAATGCAAAGGCCTTGCGAGGCCATTCCGAAGCTGCTCGAGCGGGGCGCGGCCAACGACAGTGGCGCAGGAGGGGCCGAGGAGAGGCAGGGATGCAAAAAGCACCCCTGGGGAAAGGCTGCCCCTCCTCGCTGTGCGGGTCGACTGCGGCGGCGTCGGAGCGTGCTCCCCCTCTGCGGGCAGGGCGGCGGCGGCGGGCGTTGACGCGCTGCACGTTGTCGTCGGCGCTGCAGGCCAGCCTCTCCAGCTCCGTCCTGAGGACGCTCCTCTCCCGGCCTGGGGCCAGGGCGGGCGGGGCGCCCACGGCGTCGGGAGCGGCCAAGAGGGGGGTGCCCAAGAGGGCGGGGTGCAAATCATGACCGGCGGCATGTGCGCGGCCCAGCGGGGGGGGCAGGGACGCAATGAAATAAGAAGAGGCGCCATGACATCTGGGGAAATATCATGGCCGCCGCCATGATATCCCCCCTCCCTAGTCACCACCCCCCTCTTTTCCGCCCCCGACACGGACTCGATGACTGGTGGTGGCTGGGATCGGCTGTCGCCGAACCCGGACAAGCAGCGACACGAGCAGGAACTCGCAGACGGCCGCGCTCCGCAGCGCCGCCAGTGCCGACCTCAGAGGATCTGCGCTGTCGTGGCAGCATGGCGAGGAGCGCGAAGCAGGAAACGGATGGGCTCTCTATGGAGGAGGCAACCCTCCCGACACGAACAGGTCCCCCGACCCAGTTGTGAGGAACGGCCCGCGACGCCGGGAATACCAGAGCCCCCCCTGAGGCCGAGGTGACCCTTCTTGCAGCGCCATGGCTGTGTGTTCATGGTGTGTTTGTGTGTTTTGCGCAGCGCGCCGTTGCTGCCATTACGTCCGACGAGATGATAGTCCTAATGTGCGGCCCCAGGAATCGCGTCCCGCCTTCGGGGGTAGTGTTTAGTCCTGGATGACTGCCACCGTGCCCCCTGGCACGTTGAGGGGTGGAAGAATGCCAAGGTTTGCATGGTAGGATCTCTGGTGAACTCTAACGAAAGGTCTTCCCCCTCCCTACTCCCTGACTCCTGCGTGCACCGCCTCTCCTTTCCGAGGCTACTTTCCTCGTGCCCGCTCGAAGATGGTGCACTTCCAGCATGGCTGCTGATGCCTGAACCCCCCTTCCGCGTGTACCCGCTCGAGGATGGTGCACTCCCCGCATGCATTCCATGCGCGCCCGCCCGAGGATTGGGCACCTCCCCGCATGGCTGCTAACTCCTAGACCCCTCATCCCAAGCGCACCTGCTCGAGGATCGTGCACCTCCCGCATTCCCAGGAGCTGCTCCTGAGCGCTCCAGGACATCCCGAGCCACGATCCCGTTCCAAAACTATGGATATGCGCCCCGAGCTTCCGAGACGGCCCGTGCAGCCAACGCATGACACCAGGATGGCCCAAGATGCCTCGAAGACGGCCGAAGATAGCCCCAAGGCGGCCGAACATTGACTCAAGACGGCCCACAGTGTCTCCGAGGGGGTCCAAAATGGCAACAAGAGGACTTGGAGACGGACGGCGACGACGACGACGACGACGACGGACGACGACGGACGACGATGGACGACTAGATGCAAGTCTGGCCCTGGGGACGGGGTCGAGATCAGGACCTCCCTGTGCAGAACTCGGGAGCGGCCAAGAGGGGGGTGCCCAAGAGGGCGGGGTGCAAATCATGACCGGCGGCATGTGCGCGGCCCAGCGGGGGGACCAGGGACGTAATGCAATAAGAGGAGGCGCCATAAGATCTGGGGAAATATCATGGCCCCCGCCATGATATCCACCCCCCCCAGTCACCACCCCCCTCTTTGCCGCCCCCGATGTGCAGAACCCAAGGCATCGCACGCCACGGCCGGGGGGCCCGCGCGGCTGCCATGGGGTCGGCGCGGCGAGGGGCTCCCCCGGCCCCGGCCTCGCGGCGCACGGCGCCCCGGAGGCGGCGAGGGGAGCGCCCCTGCGCCGACGCGGGCCAGGGGGCTTCTCGAGGGGGCAAACAAACCTACCTCGCTTTTGACCACCCTCGCTTCCAAGAGATACCAAGCGATGCCAGACTACGACCTGTACTGGTCAGGCCGCTTGGCGAGGGGGCGCGTGGTATGACTCGCTTCTGCCTGGAAGCGGAAGCGGGGTAGGCAATTCACGCGCTGATTCTCACAAAGGCCGGGAGGTACCGGTACCGCTCGCCACTGCTCCCCGGACCTCAGCCGGGGCGCGCCATGGCCAGGACTGCGAGGCGAATGCCGCCCGCGGTGGCGACGAGTGGCCCCCAGGGGGCCCCAAGACAACGGAGAAGCAAGGGAAGGACCACCCGCCCGAGACGCCTCCGCCGCCCTCGTCGTCGCCGTGTCGACACGGCCGTAGCCGCCAACACCGTCGCCGCTGCCGCCACCGTCGTCGTGGACGCCATCCAGCCACGGTCCGCTCAGCACCTGTTCCCGGATCCCTCGCGATGTCCACCCTGGCCGATGTTTCGAGCCTCGCAGACGCGAACCTCCAAGAACGACTAAGACATCCAAAACGACGTTGACGTCGACGTCGACGTCGACGTCGCCCCTGGAAATCTCACCCCCTTCTTCCCTAGGGCCAACTTCTCATCCCGAATCGTTGTTGACCGTCCCAGTGCCACGAAGCGGCCTCCACAGGCCGAAAGCGACGAAAAACATGCCGCCACGATGTCTGTTACGTCTCTGCGTCGCCCAGATCTGAGAATCGACGTCAACGTCGTCGCAGCGTCGTCGTCTACGGCGTCGCGGGCGTCGTCGTAGTCCGTCGTCGTCGCCGTCGTCGCCATCGTCGGCGCCGCTGGAGTCGTCGTCTTCGGCGTCGCGGTCGGCGTCGTCGTTAGTGTCGTCGCCGTCGTCGGCGTCGTCGTCGGGGGCGTCGTCGTCGTCGGCGTCGTCGTCGGCGGCGGCGGCGTCGCCTCGCGGGTGCCCGCGCCGCTCTTCAACGCCGCGGCTCGCGGCGGAGATGTGGTGCAGGGCGCCTCTGGCGCGTCGGGGGAGGAGGTGGGAGGAGGAGTAGGAGGAGGAGGAGGAGGAGGAGGAGGAGGAGGAGGAGGAGGAAGAGGAGGATTATATTATACTCTACCTCTATGCGTGGTGACCTGCTGCAGGGCTGGACACGCTGAGACAACTCACAAATCAGGGAAACTGCCAGACTTAGGCGGCAATCCCCGCTTCAGTCTGCTGAGCACTTCATTGCCAGCTTTTGTAAGAAACAAACACTCCGACCTCAAATTCCGTGGGCTCTCAACACAGTGACGCCCACAGATTTCACAAAACAACACTCCTCGATACGTGGCTAGCTTGCGCGAGGCGTGGCACAACTCAGCCACTGGATGATCCAGTCCCCCACCCACTCCCGCCTCCCGAGGCCCAAGGTCATCAGGAGGAGGAGAAGGCCCCCTGCGAGGAGGGACAGGTGCGTTCTTAGCAGGGAGGGCCTGAATTCGCTGATGTATCTCTGCACAGAGTTTACATATGCTAGGCCAGAACTCACAGAGAGGGCATCTCCGACTGAACGAGCGTGCACACAGACTGCACTTGAAAGACGCTGAGCGCACAGCACATTTGTGACCACTATCTTGGAGCCTGCGCATTCGCTCGGCCACTGAACGCACAGGCTGACGGGTACGGACCTCCCGACGCACAGCCAGAGGTAAAGAGGTTAACATAACGTCTCTCTGCACGGCCAGAAGACGGCCTAGAACCTTGAAAGCCCGCTCGTCGGCCAACAGAGTCCGACGGGCCTGGTCTTCTGACACCTGGCCAGCCTCAGCGGCCTTCCCATCAAAAGAAATCAGCAGATTTATATAAATAAAACTCAGTATCGATCATACACATATGAAAAGCCTGAGCCTGGGTGGGTTGACCTTTGGTCCAACGAACTTCAATCGTGCCGCCCCACGCCCCCAGGACCTCATGACATTATTTCCAGAGATCGAGCATAGAAGACTTCAGTTTAGCACGGAGGGGACACCGAGCACCTTTCACTACAGACATGTTGTCACAGTAAGCTCGTACATTGTCCATCGGAGGTCTCGCCAGCTGCACACGCGCATAATTTTCAGCGCGGCCACCAGACTGCACCTTAGTGGGTAGTGAGCCGCTTGCCACACCGTCAAACAGGCCAGCAGGATCTTGGTGGACAATAGCCCAGCCACAACGTCTCAAACGCCAAAGTTTCTGATATTCACCCCCGCTTCCATCGATCCCCCAGACGCCACCGTGCACACGAGCCCCCCACTCAAGGTAATTACCCTGCTCCCAGGAGAGCTCCAGGGGACCAGGGAAGTGACCCACACTGGCGGGAAGGGGCGGCAGCCCACGAATCCAAACACAAGAAGACTCGGGGGAACTCAGGCCAAACCTTAAACGTAATGGAACGGTAGGGGGAGGAGGAGGAGGAGGAGGAGGAGGAGGAGGAGGAGGAGGAGAAGGCAGAGGAGGAGAAGGAGGAGGAGGAGGGGGAGGAGGGGGAGGATGGGGGAAGGCCGGGCCCCGGGAACCGATCACGGGCGGCGAACATGCCTCTCGGCGGCGAGCGAGGGGGGCAAGCGAACAGGAGACGGCATTCTCGGAAGGCGGCGAGGCTTCGCAGAAACCCCCGCACAGTCTGGAAAAAATTGTATTTCTTCGGAGGAGGCTTAGAGAGCTTCTTAAAAGTCCGGGGGTCTTCCGAACCTTAAGCGAGCCCGCCCCTTCCCACTTCCCCCCGTCGCTCGCCGCCGAAACCTGTCTCGGGCTGGTGGTAATGGTGGGGTACCTCTGTGGGGCGTGAAAAAAAACAACCCGAACAGGGCCCCTAGGGCCCATGCGGTCTGCAAACTTTCCAGGTGGTTTTGGAACAATTTTCCAAGGACCAACCACAAGGATGTTGAGCAACGAAATAGCCTTAATATAAACATCGCAACGAAACCCAACGTACAGAACGAATGCTGAAAACGAGGCCGGTGCCAAACGAAACGACGAACGAAATGAGTCGTTCGAAACGAGAACGGACAACACAACAAACCGACAACAATAAACGGAACGAACAAAACAACAAGAGCCCAACCCAAGCTGAACGGCGTTGTGGCCGGTCCACCAACCTCATCCGACCTTCCATCCATCCAAGACACGTGGGTCCTCCACGGATTTGAAATGCCCAGATCCCACAGTGACCACCACCCCCTGCCTGCTGGGTTGAGATGGTGGACGCCCCAGCATGCTCGGCCCCAAAACAAAATAAACGCAAATCCGAACATAAAACGAGCCTGTGATAAGTTTCGTCCTACACGATTCATTCAGAACGTGCCCGTGGAAGACTGGACTCCCGACCACTGCGTGGTGGGCAGGAGTGGGGGAACCTCTTCCGGGGTGCGAATCCAGCGGTGACGACGAGGACCTCCCAGAAGGTACAGAACAAAAGGGAAAACGGGCGAACGCTTCACGCTCGCATGTGATCGAGCGTTCCTGGTGCTCGGCGCCGTCCTCCAAATTTGGTCCGATCGGTCCTTAGTTTCTTGCAAAAGCTGGCAGAAACGATCGCTGGGGATCATCGCGGTTTCATAGGTTTCCGACGCGCGTGTATCCGCCGCTTTCTTTTGGGCACCCAATTATTCCTCTCCTCCTCTCCCTCCTCCTCCCCCTTCCGCCCGCTGTCCGCAATTCCGTACATATTATCGTGTAGGCTGTTTGTATATCCGAACGCTTCGCGCCCGCGGGCGCCCTAGCTTTGTCGGCGATTGGCGCCGCCCTCGGAGGCTGGTCCGATCGGCGCGGGATCGACTCTCGCAGCAACTGGCATAAACGATCGCTGGGGATGGTTGCGACGGCCGGTCGGAAATGGCATTCGCAATGGCCACCACGGCCTAGATTGCTGCGTCCAGAGAAATACCTCGGCGTTGAAGGAAGGCGTCGGGTCTCGAAGAACACTGCCGCGAGCCACCCGCTCCATTCATGCGCCGATGGTGCGTCGAACGCCCGTTTGGGCTGAGTCGAACTTGACTCGACCTAGAACCGAAGTGGTGTCGAACTGGTCCGTCAGGTGGCCCCCAGGAAGGTCCCCACGACGGGCGTCTGAGCCAGGGAAACGTCTGGAGCGTCTGGATGCGTCGACCCTCCACCTTCGAAGCCGAGGAGGCGGGCTCCCACCTGGAAGGTCAAGCTCTGCGTGCTCGCCTGGCTGCTACCGCGCCGAAGCCCTTGCCCTGGCCTCCCGTCGGCGAGGGAGAGTAGAGGAGGCGGACAAAGCGGAGCGAACAGGCGGGGAAGCACACCAGCGGGGAGGCACACCGCGGGCCCCCGTGACGCGGAGCTGGCGGCCCGAGCGCAGAGGGCCCTCCTCTCGGGCGGCGGGTGGCGAGCGGAGGGCCGCGCAGGCCGATTGCCAAGGTTCGGCGAGCGTTGGAAAACGAGCGGCGAAGATCGATAGCGAGTTGAGAGGCCTTCAAGATGGGGTCCGAAGAAATGGGGTCGAAGGATCGCGCCGCATCGCAAATGCATCGCCGATGTATCGGCGATTCATCGGCGACGTCGGCGATGCATCGGCGATGCATCGGCGACGTCGGCGTGGGGAAACACGGGCTCCACATCGAGCCGCATCGTCGATGCATCGGCGATGCGGCGCCCATCTAAGAGGCCTGACGAGTTTGGACGCTCGAGACTGGGACGAAAAAATGAGACCAAAACGACAGCGGCCGATACTGGGCAGGCATTTTTTGGTCTCTTCAAGTGACAGAGTCAGCGGCGGCGTGGACAGCGAGTCCTGACCAAAATGATCAGGAACTGCTGTTGGGCACCGTGCAACCTCTTTACGTACCGATTTCGATCGCCCCCAGCGAAGGCTGGCGGCGAGGCGAAGGGCGACGGCCGGCGAGGCCGATTGCGAAGGCTG